AAATAGATGTTACTTCAACATACAGTAGGATCAGTTAGAGAGTAGATGACAGTTACAGCAGGGTAAAATAGATGGTACTTCAACATATAGTAGGATCAGTTAGAGAGTAGATGACAGTTACAGCAGTGCTAAATAGATGTTACTTCAACATATAGTAGGATCAGTTAGAGAGTAGATGACAGTTACAGCAGTGCTAAATAGATGTTACTTCAACATATAGTAGGATCAGTTAGAGAGTAGATGACAGTTACAGCAGTGCTAAATAGATGGTACTTCAACATATAGTGGGATCAGTTAGAGAGTAGATGACAGTTACAGCAGGGTTAAATAGATGGTACTTCAACATACAGTAGGATCAGTTAGAGAGTAGATGACAGTTACAGCAGGGTTAAATAGATGGTACTTCAACATATAGTAGGATCAGTTAGAGAGTAGATGACAGTTACAGCAGTGCTAAATAGATGTTACTTCAACATATAGTAGGATCAGTTAGAGAGTAGATGACAGTTACAGCAGTGCTAAATAGATGTTACTTCAACATATAGTAGGATCAGTTAGAGAGTAGATGACAGTTACAGCAGTGCTAAATAGATGGTACTTCAACATATAGTGGGATCAGTTAGAGAGTAGATGACAGTTACAGCAGGGTTAAATAGATGGTACTTCAACATACAGTAGGATCAGTTAGAGAGTAGATGACAGTTACAGCAGGGTTAAATAGATGGTACTTCAACATATAGTGGGATCAATTAGAGAGTAGATGACAGTTACAGCAGGGTTAAATAGATGTTACTTCAACATATAGTAGGATCAGTTAGAGAGTAGATGACAGTTACAGCAGGGTTAAATAGATGTTACTTCAACATATAGTGGGATCAATTAGAGAGTAGATGACAGTTACAGCAGGGTTAAATAGATGTTACTTCAACATATAGTAGGATCAGTTAGAGAGTAGATGACAGTTACAGCAGGGTTAAATAGATGGTACTTCAACATATAGTGGGATCAATTAGAGAGTAGATGACAGTTACAGCAGGGTTAAATAGATGTTACTTCAACATATAGTAGGATCAGTTAGAGAGTAGATAACAGTTACAGCAGGGTTAAATAGATGTTACTTCAACATATAGTGGGATCAATTAGAGAGTAGATGACAGTTACAGCAGGGTTAAATAGATGTTACTTCAACATATAGTAGGATCAGTTAGAGAGTAGATGACAGTTACAGCAGGGTTAAATAGATGGTACTTCAACATATAGTGGGATCAATTAGAGAGTAGATGACAGTTACAGCAGGGTTAAATAGATGTTACTTCAACATATAGTAGGATCAGTTAGAGAGTAGATGACAGTTACAGCAGGGTTAAATAGATGTTACTTCAACATATAGTGGGATCAGTTAGAGAGTAGATGACAGTTACAGCAGGGTTAAATAGATGTTACTTCAACATATAGTAGGATCAGTTAGAGAGTAGATGACAGTTACAGCAGTGCTAAATAGATGTTACTTCAACATATAGTGGGATCAGTTAGAGAGTAGATGACAGTTACAGCAGGGTTAAATAGATGTTACTTCAACATACAGTAGGATCAGTTAGAGAGTAGATGACAGTTACAGCAGGGTTAAATAGATGTTACTTCAACATATAGTGGGATCAATTAGAGAGTAGATGACAGTTACAGCAGTGCTAAATAGATGGTACTTCAACATACAGTAGGATCAGTTAGAGAGTAGATGACAGTTACAGCAGGGTTAAATAGATGTTACTTCAACATATAGTGGGATCAGTTAGAGAGTAGATGACAGTTACAGCAGGGTTAAATAGATGTTACTTCAACATATAGTAGGATCAGTTAGAGAGTAGATGACAGTTACAGCAGTGCTAAATAGATGTTACTTCAACATATAGTAGGATCAGTTAGAGAGTAGATGACAGTTACAGCAGTGCTAAATAGATGGTACTTCAACATATAGTGGGATCAGTTAGAGAGTAGATGACAGTTACAGCAGGGTTAAATAGATGGTACTTCAACATACAGTAGGATCAGTTAGAGAGTAGATGACAGTTACAGCAGGGTTAAATAGATGGTACTTCAACATATAGTGGGATCAATTAGAGAGTAGATGACAGTTACAGCAGGGTTAAATAGATGTTACTTCAACATATAGTAGGATCAGTTAGAGAGTAGATGACAGTTACAGCAGGGTTAAATAGATGTTACTTCAACATATAGTGGGATAAATTAGAGAGTAGATGACAGTTACAGCAGGGTTAAATAGATGTTACTTCAACATATAGTAGGATCAGTTAGAGAGTAGATGACAGTTACAGCAGGGTTAAATAGATGGTACTTCAACATATAGTGGGATCAATTAGAGAGTAGATGACAGTTACAGCAGGGTTAAATAGATGTTACTTCAACATATAGTAGGATCAGTTAGAGAGTAGATGACAGTTACAGCAGGGTTAAATAGATGTTACTTCAACATATAGTGGGATCAATTAGAGAGTAGATGACAGTTACAGCAGGGTTAAATAGATGTTACTTCAACATATAGTAGGATCAGTTAGAGAGTAGATGACAGTTACAGCAGGGTTAAATAGATGGTACTTCAACATATAGTGGGATCAATTAGAGAGTAGATGACAGTTACAGCAGGGTTAAATAGATGTTACTTCAACATATAGTAGGATCAGTTAGAGAGTAGATGACAGTTACAGCAGGGTTAAATAGATGTTACTTCAACATATAGTGGGATCAGTTAGAGAGTAGATGACAGTTACAGCAGGGTTAAATAGATGTTACTTCAACATATAGTAGGATCAGTTAGAGAGTAGATGACAGTTACAGCAGTGCTAAATAGATGTTACTTCAACATATAGTGGGATCAGTTAGAGAGTAGATGACAGTTACAGCAGGGTTAAATAGATGTTACTTCAACATACAGTAGGATCAGTTAGAGAGTAGATGACAGTTACAGCAGGGTTAAATAGATGTTACTTCAACATATAGTGGGATCAATTAGAGAGTAGATGACAGTTACAGCAGTGCTAAATAGATGGTACTTCAACATACAGTAGGATCAGTTAGAGAGTAGATGACAGTTACAGCAGGGTTAAATAGATGTTACTTCAACATATAGTGGGATCAGTTAGAGAGTAGATGACAGTTACAGCAGGGTTAAATAGATGTTACTTCAACATATAGTAGGATCAGTTAGAGAGTAGATGACAGTTACAGCAGGGTTAAATAGATGTTACTTCAACATATAGTGGGATCAATTAGAGAGTAGATGACAGTTACAGCAGTGCTAAATAGATGGTACTTCAACATACAGTAGGATCAGTTAGAGAGTAGATGACAGTTACAGCAGGGTTAAATAGATGTTACTTCAACATATAGTGGGATCAGTTAGAGAGTAGATGACAGTTACAGCAGGGTTAAATAGATGTTACTTCAACATATAGTAGGATCAGTTAGAGAGTAGATGACAGTTACAGCAGGGTTAAATAGATGTTACTTCAACATATAGTGGGATCAATTAGAGAGTAGATGACAGTTACAGCAGGGTTAAATAGATGGTACTTCAACATACAGTAGGATCAGTTAGAGAGTAGATGACAGTTACAGCAGGGTTAAATAGATGTTACTTCAACATATAGTGGGATCAGTTAGAGAGTAGATGACAGTTACAGCAGGGTTAAATAGATGTTACTTCAACATATAGTAGGATCAGTTAGAGAGTAGATGACAGTTACAGCAGGGTTAAATAGATGTTACTTCAACATATAGTGGGATCAATTAGAGAGTAGATGACAGTTACAGCAGTGCTAAATAGATGGTACTTCAACATACAGTAGGATCAGTTAGAGAGTAGATGACAGTTACAGCAGGGTTAAATAGATGTTACTTCAACATATAGTGGGATCAGTTAGAGAGTAGATGACAGTTACAGCAGGGTTAAATAGATGTTACTTCAACATATAGTAGGATCAGTTAGAGAGTAGATGACAGTTACAGCAGGGTTAAATAGATGTTACTTCAACATATAGTGGGATCAATTAGAGAGTAGATGACAGTTACAGCAGGGTTAAATAGATGGTACTTCAACATACAGTAGGATCAGTTAGAGAGTAGATGACAGTTACAGCAGGGTTAAATAGATGTTACTTCAACATACAGTAGGATCAGTTAGAGAGTAGATGACAGTTACAGCAGGGTTAAATAGATGTTACTTCAACATATAGTGGGATCAATTAGAGAGTAGATGACAGTTACAGCAGGGTTAAATAGATGTTACTTCAACATATAGTAGGATCAGTTAGAGAGTAGATGACAGTTACAGCAGGGTTAAATAGATGTTACTTCAACATATAGTGGGATCAATTAGGACTTGTAGTGATTGTGGAACTAGACAGTACTTACAGTGATTGTGGGGTTAATTAGACAGTACTTACAGTGATTGTGGGGTTAATTAGACAGTACTTACAGTGATTGTGGGGTTAGTTAGACAGTACTTACAGTGATTGTGGGGTTAGTTAGAGAGTACTTACAGTGATTGTGGGGTTAATTAGACAGTACTTACAGTGATTGTGGGGTTAATTAGACAGTACTTACAGTGATTGTGGGGTTAGTTAGAGAGTACTTACAGTGATTGTGGGGTTAATTAGACAGTACTTACAGTGATTGTGGGGTTAGTTAGAGAGTACTTACAGTGATTGTGGGGTTAATTAGACAGTACTTACAGTGATTGTGGGGTTAATTAGACAGTACTTTCAGTGATTGTGGGGTTAGTTAGACAGTACTTTCAGTGATTGTGGGGTTAGTTAGACGGTACTTACAGTGATTGTGGGGTTAGTTAGAGAGTACTTACAGTGATTGTGGGGTTAATTAGACAGTACTTACAGTGATTGTGGGGTTAATTAGACAGTACTTACAGTGATTGTGGGGTTAATTAGACAGTACTTAGAGTGATTGTGGGGTTAGAGAGTACTTACAGTGATTGTGGGGTTAGACTCAGGAACTGGCACCCCAGTCTGAAGAGTTATCTGTAAAAGTTGAACAGAACCAAAAATTAATGTTTAAGTTAGAGTGAGGCTTACAAGGTATATGTTTAGAAACCACAAACATAGTGCAAGTTTTAAAAAACAACATACACTGCCTTTGATGGTGGGCAGACAGACCACAAACAGAATGTATGTACGTATAGTCTAGAGATAAACAACATACACTGCCTTTAATGGTGGGCAGACAGAGATAAACAACATACACTGCCTTTGATGGTGGGCAGACAGAGATAAACAACATACACTGCCTTTAATGGTGGGCAGACAGAGATAAACAACATACACTGCCTTTAATGGTGGGCAGACAGAGATAAACAACATACACTGCCTTTAATGGTGGGCAGACAGAGATAAACAACATACACTGCCTTTGATGGTGGGCAGACAGAGATAAACAACATACACTGCCTTTAATGTTGGGCAGACAGACCACATACAGAATGTATGTACGTATAGTCTAGAGATAAACAACATACACTGCCTTTAATGTTGGGCAGACAGACCACAAACAGAATGTATGTACGTATAGTCTAGAGATAAACAACATACACTGCCTTTAATGTTGGGTTAGGGTTATGTACGTATAGTCTAGAGATAAACAACATACACTGCCTTTAATGTTGGGCAGCTTGCCAGGGTCAATCTTCCCCACATCCCAAGTCATCAGCTTAGACACGGGGTCAAACGAATTTTTCCCTTGGCTGGCGGTCAAGGTCACGTTGAGCACAGATTTGGGGAAGGGGACCTCCAACACCACATTCTCAATCTGAAAGGTAAGAAAAAAATGTTTTGAGGTTGTTGGTTGTTTTGCTTAAAGCATGGGAGAGTGGCACCTAAAACTGATGGCACACAGCATGTACAGTCCAAACTTACAGTTTTTCCCATGGTCTGTGTACAAACCAGACTTACAGTTTTTCCCATGGTCTGTGTACAAACCAGACTTACAGTTTTTCCCATGGTCTGTGTACAAACCAGACTTACAGTTTTTCCCATGGTCTGTGTACAAACCAGACTTACAGTTTTTCCCATGGTCTGTGTACAAACCAGACTTACAGTTTTTCCCATGGTCTGTTTGGGTCCTATTGTGACATCAAACCTGCCCCCACTTCCCTCTCTGTATGAGATATTGTGTTTGAGGTACAGGGGAATGGCTACCATGCTGGGGAGGTAAAGTCAAATAAAATCTATTTCAATTATTCTGGAAAAAAGGTCAAATAAAATCTATTTCAATTATTCTGGAAAGAAATGGAGAATTTTTAAAAAATGGCAAAATAGGAAAAAAAAAGAATGGAAGGTTGTTGTAGGTGCAGATGTGAGCTACTTAGGTCAATGTCCTGCTTACTTGTTGGCACCTATATGGTAGGACATCATACGGAAGTGGCCGTCAGGCGGGACAAAGGACAAAATCTTCTCGGACTGAAAATAAATCCTATGTAGTTTTATCCCAGGTTAATTAACAGTTAGTGATAATATGAACATTATGTGCTGAGATTTGAACAATATTTGTTACTTTTTATCAATTATTGTCTAGCTTGGGTTAAAGAAGAATTTTTTATTACAATTATCTGACTATGGTTTTAAAGCATTATCTTTTTACAATTATTATTTGACAGGCAACAAAACTATTTCTATATTTTTTAACAATGACTCTCTGACTAGGGTGAACAAATATTTTATTGTTACCTCCCATCTCTTAAACCGGACACAAGGATGAAAGCTGACATCGTCTAAAAGTCTTGGATTCACAAAGGAAAGTGTCAGGTCTGGCATCCCACTCAACTTGATCAGACAGTCAATCTGGCAAACAGAAATTGTAGAAACTTGCACATTTCCTAGGTCTTGTTAACACGACTAATACAAGTCAAACTTTACTTGTTCATTTCCTAGGTCTCATTAACACTACTAGTACAAGTCAAACTTTACTTTTTACTTGCATACTCTAAAATTTTAAGAAAAACTAATCACAATAAAATTTACTATGCCCAAAAAAATGTGCATGCTACAAATACCAATTAAATCTTACATATGAAAATAAATGTTACATATCCCACCAAAACCTACAAACAAAAATATCACACATATCCCACCAAAACTTACAAATCACCCACCAAAACTTAGAAACAAAACCAACAAATCCCACCAAAACCAACAAATCCCACCAAAACCACAAAGTAAACTTACATATCCCACCAAAACCCACAAAGAAAACTTACATATCCCACCAAAACCCACAAAGTAAACTTACATATCCCACCAAAACCCACAAAGTAAACTTACAAATCCCACCTAAACCCACAAAGAAAACTTACATATCCCACCAAAACCAACAAACAAAACCCACAAAGTAAACTTACATATCCCACAAAGAAAACTTACATATCCCACCAAACCCACAAAGTAAACTTACATATCCCACCAAAACCAACAAACAAAACCCACAAAGAAAACTTACATATCCCACAAAGAAAACTTACATATCCCACCAAAACCAACATATCCCACCAAAACTTACAAAGTAAACTTACATATCCCACAAAAAAAACTTACATATCCCACCAAAACCCACAAAGAAAACTTACATATCCCACCAAAACAAAACGTACATATCCCACCAAAACCCACAAAGAAAACTTACATATCCCACTAAAACCCACCAAAACAAAACTTACATATCCCACAAAGAAAACTTACATATCCCACCAAAACCACCAAAAAAAACTTACATATCCCACCAAAACCAACAAACAAAACCCACCAAAGAAAACTTACATATCCCACCAAAACAAAACGTACATATCCCACCAAAACCCACAAAGTAAACTTACATATCCCACAAAGAAAACTTACATATCCCACCAAACCCACAAAGTAAACTTACATATCCCACCAAAACCAACAAACAAAACCCACAAAGAAAACTTACATATCCCACCAAAACCAACATATCCCACCAAAACTTACAAAGTAAACTTACATATCCCACAAAAAAAACTTACATATCCCACCAAAACCCACAAAGAAAACTTACATATCCCACCAAAACAAAACGTACATATCCCACCAAAACCCACAAAGAAAACTTACATATCCCACCAAAACCCACCAAAACAAAACTTACATATCCCACAAAGAAAACTTACATATCCCACCAAAACCACCAAAAAAAACTTACATATCCCACCAAAACCAACAAACAAAACCCACCAAAGAAAACTTACATATCCCACCAAAACAAAACGTACATATCCCACCAAAACCCACAAAGTAAACTTACATATCCCACAAAGAAAACTTACATATCCCACCAAACCCACAAAGTAAACTTACATATCCCACCAAACCCACCAAAAAAAACTTACATATCCCACCAAAAAAAACTTACATATCCCACCAAAAAAAACTTACATATCCCACCAAAAAAAACTTACATATCCCACAAAAAAAACTTACATATCCCACAAAGTAAACTTACATATCCCTGAATCTCAGCTATAACAGTGGAGCCAGACTTGTCTATGATGGCATCTATTTCCTCGATGACATCAAAATAGGCCTCATTGTTGGTGTACTTAACACCTGTCCGGCGCCATGGAATGTTGGACAACTGACCAGTTGGCAATGTGGCACCCACACTGAGATGGAAGACATTTTTATTAATTAACCTTGCAGCCCAACCTATTGTTTGACTTCTGGAAAATTTAGTTCACCCCCTCACCCCCAAAAAATTTCAAGTACCCCCCAACTGTGGAGAAAAAAGTCTGACAGAAACACTGGTCGCATTTGTAGACTAAAGGTAGACCCTAATTCTATAATCTGGACTCGTTTACTACTTTTGGCTGCTGAACCTCAATCATGCTTTCTTAAAAAAAAGCATTGATTACTCATGAAACAGCTCACATGTTTTAGAGGGTATGTGGGACAGGAAATGTTATCCCGTGACTACCAATCAACAATCATTTGACCTCCCATTCCCTCCCCTACCTTGTTGACTTTCCAGTGACTGTGTCTGTGATTGTCCTCAAGAAGTTTGGAGGCTTGATGAGCTCCTTCAAGACATTGGACTCTACAGCCAGGGGGAATCCATTGTCCAGCATCTCGTCCAACAGCTGGGGTTCAAAATAAAACATCAGTTAATGCAACAAGTCAGTTCATACAACAAATCAATTCATACAACAGATCAATTCATACAACAAATCAGTTCAAACAGATCAATTCATACAACAGATCAATTCATACAACAAATCAGTTCATACAACAAATCAATTCATACAACAGATCAATTCATACAACAAATCAGTTCATACAACAGATCAATTCATACAACAGATCAATTCATACAACAGATCAGTTCATACAACAAATCAGTTCATACAACAAATCAGTTCATACAACAGATCAATTCATACAACAAATCAGTTCATACAACAGATCAATTCATACAACAAATCAATTCATACAACAGATCAATTCATACAACAGATCAATTCATACAACAAATCAATTCATACAACAGATCAATTCATACAACAGATCAATTCATACAACAAATCAATTCATACAACAAATCAATTCATACAACAGATCAATTCATACAACAAATCAGTTCATACAACAAATCAGTTCATACAACAGATCAATTCATACAACAAATCAATTCATACAACAGATCAATTCATACAACAGATCAATTCATACAACAGATCAATTCATACAACAGATCAATTCATACAACAGATCAATTCATACAACAAATCAACTCATACAACAAATCAATTCATACAACAGATCAATTCATACAACAAATCAGTTCATACAACAAATCAATTCATACAACAGATCAATTCATACAACAGATCAATTTCTACAACAGATCAATTCATACAACAAATCAATTCATACAACAGATCAATTCATACAACAAATCAGTTCATACAACAAATCAGTTCATACAACAAATCAGTTCATACAACAGATCAATTCATACAACAAATCAATTCATACAACAAATCAATTCATACAACAAATCAATTCATACAACAGATCAATTCATACAACAGATCAATTCATACAACAAATCAATTCATACAACAAATCAATTCATACAACAGATCAATTCATACAACAGATCAATTCATACAACAAATCAGTTCATACAACAGATCAATTCATACAACAAGTCAGTTCATACAACAGATCAATTCATACAACAGATCAATTCATACAACAGATCAATTCATACAACAGATCAGTTCATACAACAAATCAGTTCATACAACAAGTCAGTTCATACAACAGATCAATTCATACAACAGATCAATTCATACAACAAATCAATTCATACAACAGATCAATTCAAACAACAGATCAATTCATACAACAAGTCAGTTCATACAACAGATCAATTCATACAACAAGTCAGTTCATACAACAGATCAATTCATACAACAGATCAATTCATACAACAAATCAGTTCATACAACAAATCAGTTCATACAACAGATCAATTCATACAACAAATCAATCCATACAACAGATCAATTCATACAACAAATCAGTTCATACAACAGATCAATTCATACAACAGATCAATTCATACAACAAATCAGTTCATACAACAAATCAGTTCATACAACAGATCAATTCATACAACAGATCAATTCATACAACAGATCAGTTCATACAACAAATCAGTTCATACAACAGATCAATTCATACAACAAATCAATCCATACAACAGATCAATTCATACAACAAATCAGTTCATACAACAGATCAATTCATACAACAGATCAATTCATACAACAGATCAGTTAATAATACAACAAATCAATTCATACAACAGATCAATTCATACAACAGATCAGTTAATAATACAACAAATCAATTCATACAACAGATCAATTCATACAACAGATCAATTCATACAACAGATCAATTCATACAACAAATCAGTTCATACAACAGATCAATTCATACAACAGATCAATTCATACAACAAATCAGGTCATACAACAGATCAATTCATACAAATACAACAGATCAATTCATACAACAAATCAATTCATACAACAGATCAATTCATACAACAGATCAATTCATACAACAAATCAATTCATACAACAGATCAGTTCATACAACAGATCAATTCATACAACAGATCAGTTCATACAACAGATCAATTCATACAACAGATCAATTCATACAACAAATCAATTCATACAACAGATCAATTCATACAACAGATCAGTTCATACAACAAATCAGTTCATACAACAAATCAGTTCATACAACAAGTCAGTTCATACAACAGATCAATTCATACAACAGATCAATTCATACAACAGATCAATTCATACAACAAATCAACTAAATCAAAATGTTGGTCAAACTATTGTTCAATTCATCAATTAAAATGTTGGACTGACATTTGATAAAATTTTCGTTATGATACTTGCAAAATGTTGGTGTGACAGAAAAAATTAGTTTAATATTAAAATATTACGTTAGTCTGATTTTGTAACCAAAATTTGGTCTGGTAATAAATCAACTATTGTAATATTGAAAAAACATGACCAACACTATGTAATGTGATAAAGCTTACAACAGCTGTGAACTAGCTCACCTCGTAGACTATGACATAGTTTTCTTTGAGAACAGATTCCGTACACTCAGAGAAATAATCCTCAAATGTCTCGCAAATTCTGTGCAGGAACTCTACCACGAACAGTGGGGGAACTAAAAGAGAATATACAAAATGGGGGGCTATTATTTCCTATACAACATATTGTAAACAAAAACAGCTTGATGGAAATAGTGTCATTTTTTAAAAGGTTAGAAGAAATAATTTTAAAAAATTTGAAATGAATGTGAGACTCTAAGAAACTCTAGCCATAGCCCCTACCCTCTGTAGTGACAACAGCAACAAAGTAGAGGCTGCCTCTGTAGATGTTGATAAGATAATGGTGGGGGGTGGAAATGACTGGGGGCACATCTTCTGGGTTGGAAGCCTGTGGATTACAATGTGTTCATTAATAGTTTAGAACTAGAATAATAAATTGTGTTCTTAAATATATTTTTAAATATAAAATATTTATAAATTTGGCATAATTATTATAAAGCCAAGAAATAATATTATCAATCTATATATATAATTCTCTTCTGGAAGCCGTTAGAAAACAAGCTGCAAGCGCCTCCTTGCAGTCCCCTCTCTTTCTCTCTATCACTATCACTACCACCCCCACCCCCACATTGTCTGGTGAGCTGTGGTCACGCTCGCTGTTTACATTTTACAATCATAGAGACGGGTTTGGTGACGGCTATTAGGGGCAGATAATTTAGTTTGAAACGATTTTAAACTTAGAGGAGGTAACTAAGAGGAGGCTGCTTTCACGTGGGGGGGGGGGGTAGTGTTTTTAAGCAAATATTTTCAGTGGCAACATTGGTACTGTCGAATTCACAAATTATAAATTACTGAAAAGTAGAAAAAAAAACAACTAAATAGCGGCTTATGATACGCAGCGGGTCGGCTCGTTATTAATAAATATGTATAGTTAAAAAACTAATAAATGGAGATAATAAATATTTATTATTTTAAAAACAGCCCATTAGGCATAATTATTATTATAAAGCCTAGAAATAATGTTAATAATTATTAATAAATATGTATAGTTGAAAAACTAATAAATGGAGATAATAAATATTTATTATTTTTAAAACAAATTTTAAAATGTAAATTAGTGCTACCTTGCTTTGAGCTTCAAAGAAATAATCACAAATGGATTTATTGACCACACTTTTCCAATGTTTCTCCATAAACACATCCCTAAAAGAAACATAAATTGATTTTGATTAATAGGTATGTCACAAAAAATAACACAAGATTTCAATCAATAATATGAAAAATCTAAACAAAAATACTAATATGTGCCAAAACTAAAATTAGCTTTAAAATAGTAAAATAGAAATAATATGTTGAATGTAATTTAAGTGGATCTCTAGTATTCAATCGTTGAAAACATAAAATGAGTCCACTCAGGCAATATTAGATTTAATGAGTATCCCTACTAACTATTAATTAGCCAGTCACTGGGCTTGCAGGGTGTTAAATTTTGAGGGTACATACAACCTTTACCCCATCTCTTGGTACAGCTGTTGCTTAAGAATATGACTAACATATTAGCATTTATTTTAACATTAATAGTTAACATTTTCTTAAAAATTTGTTGCCAATAGATTGAAACGGTCATAATCATGATATTTATGGCACAGTCAATATTTTTGGTACTAATCAAATTATTAAAAAAAATTTAAGCTTATTTATTTGCTTTTTAATAAAACGTAGGCTACTTGCAACGACAATTTTTAACAATTCATAATAAATCATCTAAACACTAAAAAAAAAACCTTTCTGATGGAACAAATATCAGGGTATGTGCTCATACCAGTAGGGCCTATCCAATAATGGCATCTTTTTATATAACTATAATACTGGGTTATAGTTATTGGTAGCAAACAGCAATTTAATATCTCCTACGCAACTTCTACCAAAACCATTCAGCCTAATTTCTGACTTTAATATGAAACCAGGCATTTCAATACTTTTATTCTAAACTTCTATTTTCAAAAGAAACTATTGTGGGATACAGTTAATAGTTAATACCAAAATCCCCAAAAACAAGGTTTTATGGCTCATTAGATCTACTATATCATTGGTTAAACAACAGTCTCAACAGCTACCTTTGCAGATTTTTATTGTGAGCACATTCATAAAAAGGCTGGCTAAGTCAACAGACCATGAAGGTTGTGTGCCAGATTTGTAAGCTACTATTTCAGTTTCTCACAAATTTCAGTGGGCCATTAGCCATGAAATAAATTAGGCCCTAAGTCTAGTTTTTTTAAACTGAATTATTTCTGGACCTAAATTTCTAAGGTCGATTCTAGTCGGAAGAAGTTGAGCATTCATATAGCTCTACAATTACCTGGTTTTTCTTGTCATCTACATGTTTGTTGTTTAGGCCTACGTTTTGTCTTAATGGGACAGGGATTAACACGACAAATACTTAAATAGGCCTAGTAGATTTAAAAAGGCTATTAAAATAGATTTTTTAAAAATATTTTATACTTAAGTTAGGCCTCTATAGACTAGAACTATTTGCTAGCTATACTATATACTCTCAACCACTAATGACCCACCCGAAGCGCAACAATTCGACCACACAGTACACATGGTTTTGTCAGAAGAATAAATATAAAGCTAAAAGAGTAATGTGCCGCTATAATATAAAAGAATAAATCGAGTCCATTGTGCAGCTATAAGTATTTCATTTGGACCCATTGCGCAGATATTTAGGTCATTGCATTTTGCATCTTTTGCTGGACAGATAGCGCTTGGGGGGAAAATCTTTCGAAGTGTCTACTCGGAAGAAGATTTTTCTCCCCAACGTCTCCACTTAGTCGGCAAAAGATAGCTCTGCGCATGCGCAGTGACCTATGGCTAGGGTTAGAATGAGGGTTAAGGGTAGGATTAGGATTAGGGCTAGGGTTAGGGCTAGGATTAGGGATAGGGTTAAGGATAGGATTAGGGTTGGTGTTAGGGTTCTGCGGTTGTAAACACACGCATGCGCAGTACCATCGAAAACATCGCCGTATCGCATGTGTATCTTATTCCGGCTAGAATCGGCCAAAATCTTTTTCCGAATAGTCACTTTGAATTTCTAAATCTGCAATTCTAGAGGAGCTTACACTTTTCGGACACACATAGCGAAAAAACGCAACGTAAAAATTCCATGCGGTCTCATTCAGTAACCGCTTAACATAGAAAACAAAAAAAAGTATCATATCTATCCGCAACCATTCTACTTTAATAATGTGTGTGTCATTTTGTATTCATACGCATAGAACTTAAGCTATTCTTGTTATAGTGACTGGGGGGTCTTAACGTGTGTTCGAACACATGTAATACAGTTTTACATGTGTTCGGACACCTTTACCCGTCATCGGACATAGCACTTTTTGTTCATTTAGAATAATTTAAAGTCAATTTAATGAATAAAAACATATATTATATGCATTTATATTGTGTTATTGATTGTTTGTGAGGTAATTTTAATAGTATAAAACCTTTTTCCCACACTCCCAAAGTTCATCCCATTCAGCCATTGCGGCTCGCGCAGTACGCTGCTAAGCCAGCCAGGTCACATGATTCCCCCTCCTCTTTTGCATTCCACTGCCTTCTTGACCTTATTTTGACCCTTTCCCTTCAATAACCAGCCCCTTTTATGCTCTAAATTCTTATTTAGTAATATTTTTGTGTTGGTGTCCGATCCCATGTAAGGCCAAATAAGTTAGCGAACACCCCTTTTTTATTGTTCAAGCACAAAAAAACCCATTAACCTTGACATTTACGATTTTCCATACATATATAGAAGCTATTTATAGTGTAACCTTTTAGCTAAGCATTGATTGGTTCAAGTTTTGCCCCTAAGTCCAACCCTAGGTCACTTCATCCGGCTGGTGTAAAAATAGAAATGTGCGTACCATGCAACGTTAAAAAATTTCTAAAAATAATTCTTGAGAAAGGAAACGGAAGTACTTGACACGGAAGTGTTCATAAATGAACAGTTTACGTGCAGGCGCCGTGGTTTCGCGTGAGACATGCTAATTAAAGTTTCTATGAGCCAAAAACCGACGAAGTGTTCGCTCCTACGTAATTTTTGGTGTGTGTCCGAAAAGTGTAAACTCCTCTAGATCTAATAAATCAGTGCCTTATTAAATCCGGAGTTTTGTTATCTTGTAGACTAGTGTGTTCAGTATACATCTTCTTTGTGACAGATTGCATCAAATCAGGCAATTATTATATTTAAAATGAGACAGGCTTTGAGTTTTTGATAAGATGTTAGCCTGATTTTGCCTCTGGTCAGTGGTCAGCAGGGTGTGTGACAGACTGAGACAATCAACAAGAAAAATCTCAGACAACTTTAGTACAGATCGACACACTAAACAATTGTAGCTGATGTCCCTGATAATTTACTTAATTTATGGGGGCACGGAAAAATACAACAAATATGTACCCTGTGTTGTTAATGACAAAGAGACTGTGTATCATTTCTGAGTTCCTGGTTTGTTTACAGTCTTACACCCGATGCAGACAATCAACCGGAAAACGGAAGTACGTGTGATGTTATGGGAAACTACTCTGTTTTCATTTCGACTTAATAAGATACCCACCCACTGCTGCGGTCATAGTGTAGTTTACTTACCAGCTCTGTAACAACTCACACAAAAGTTAAATAGACAGGAGAAAACCGAATTTACAAAAAAGTACAATAAAACTATCATTATCAAACTATTAAAGAAATAAAAAACAAAACACAGCAAGCTGAATCCTTTTTTTGTCACCTCGAGTGGTTGTGTGTAGCACCAAAAAAATCAAATATTCATCTGTAAAATGTGTCGTTATTTCTTATTTACCATCCATAAATATATATAATATATATATATATAATATATATAATATTCAGGCACGGTATAGGGTTGAACCAGTAGCGTAGCGAGGGGGGCGGGGGGGGGGGACATATGTCCCCGGGCGCCGATCTTAGGGGGCGCCAAAATGGGTTGGAAGAATAAATTGAAAGGTTGAGGGGGGTGCAAATCGAAAGTTTGAGGGGGGGGGGGGTGCAAATCAAAATCTTGAGGGGGGGGGGGGCGGGGGTGCAAATCGAAAAGTTTGTCCCCGGGCGCCGGGAAGGGTCGCTACGCCTCTGGGTTGAACAGCTCATACATGTGTGCAGTTGTAAAATGTAACAATTTTAGAATATCCGTGAGTGGTAGCCTGACCCAGCTCTGGTGGGTACCTGACTCTGGTGGGTACCTGACCCAGCTCTGGTGGGTACCTGACCCAGCTCTGGTGGGTACCTGACTCTGGTGGGTACCTGACCCAGCTCTGGTGGGTACCTGACTCTGGTGGGTACCTGACTGGTGGGTACCTGACTGGTGGGTACCTGACTCTGGTGGGTACCTGACTCTGGTGGGTACCTGACTCTGGTGGGTACCTGACTGGTGGGTACCTGACTCTGGTGGGTACCTGACTGGTGGGTACCTGACCCAGCTCTGGTGGGTACCTGACTGGTGGGTACCTGACTCTGGTGGGTACCTGACCCAGCTCTGGTGGGTACCTGACTCTGGTGGTGGGTACCTGACTGGTGGGTACCTGACTGGTGGGTACCTGACCCAGCTCTGGTGGGTACCTGACTCTGGTGGGTACCTGACCCAGCTCTGGTGGGTACCTGACTCTGGTGGGTACCTGACCCAGCTCTGGTGGGTACCTGACTGGTGGGTACCTGACTCTGGTGGGTACCTGACCCAGCTCTGGTGGGTACCTGACTCTGGTGGGTACATGACTCTGGTGGGTACCTGACTGGTGGGTACCTGACTGGTGGGTACCTGACCCAGCTCTGGTGGGTACCTGACCCAGCTCTGGTGGGTACCTGACTCTGGTGGGTACCTGACCCAGCTCTGGTGGTTACCTGACTCTGGTGGGTACCTGACTCTGGTGGGTACCTGACCCAGCTCAGATGGGTACCTAGCTCTGGTGGGTACCTGACTCTGGTGGGTACCTGACTCAGCTCTGGTGTGTACCTGACTCTGGTGGGTACCTGACTCTGGTGGGTACCTGACTGGTGGGTACCTGACTGGTGGGTACCTGACCCAGCTCTGGTGGGTACCTGACCCAGCTCTGGTGGGTACCTGACTCTGGTGGGTACCTGACCCAGCTCTGGTGGTTACCTGACTCTGGTGGGTACCTGACTCTGGTGGGTACCTGACCCAGCTCAGATGGGTACCTAGCTCTGGTGGGTACCTGACTCTGGTGGGTACCTGACTGGTGGGTACCTGACTGGTGGGTACCTGACACAGCTCTGGTGGGTACCTGACCCAGCTCTGGTGGTTACCTGACTCTGGTGAGTACCTGACTCTGGTGGGTACCTGACCCAGCTCAGATGGGTACCTGACTCTGGTGGGTACCTGACCCAGCTCTGGTGGGTACCTGACTCTGGTGGGTACCTGACTGGTGGGTACCTGACCCAGCTCAGATGGGTACCTGACTCTGGTGGGTACCTGACCCAGCTCTGGTGTGTACCTGACACAGCCCTGGTGGGTACCTGACCCAGCTCTGGTGTTTACCTGACACAGCTCTGGTGGGTACCTGACTCAGCTCTTATGGGTACCTGACCCAGCTCTGGTGGGTATCTGACTCTGGTGGGTACCTGACCCAGCTCTGGTGTGTACCTGACACAGCCCTGGTGGGTACCTGACTCTGGTGGGTACCTGACAAAGCTGTAGTGGGTACCTGACTCTGGTGGGTACCGGACTCTGGTGGGTACCTGACTGGTGGGTACCTGACTCTGGTGGGTACCGGACTCTGGTGGGTACCTGACTCTGGTGGGTACCTGACACAGCTCTGGTGGGTACCTGACTCAGCCCTGGTGGGTACCTGACCCAGCTCTGGTGGGTATCTGACTCTGGTGGGTATCTGACTCTGGTGGGTACCTGACCCAGCTCTGGTGGGTACCTGACTCTGGTGGGTACCTGACCCAGCTCTGGTGGGTACCTGACCCAGCTCTGGTGGGTACCTGACCCAGCTCTGGTGGGTACCTGACCAAGCTCTGGTGGGTACCTGACTCTGGTGGGTACCTGACCAAGCTCTGGTGGGTACCTGATTCTGGTGGGTACCTGACTCTGGTGGGTACCTGACTCTGGTGGGTACCTCTCAGAGCAGATGGGTACCTGGCTCATATGTTAAAAGCTACGATTCACAGTATTGACCACACTACTGTCTTTCAAGCAAAGAGCTTAGAAGCAGATGAACTCTACTTCATCCCCTTACTAGTTTTATTACTGGTCTGTGTATTTTAACGTTAAAAGTCAGACTACACTATGATTATATTTATTAATGCTGTCATACCATAAGAACAAAAGGAAGAATATTTCAAAGATTTTATTGATGGAAACATTACACACTATATTTTGTTTAGCCCGGCCATCTAATGCGCCATTTAAGTTTTTTGAGCCATGATGCTATAATCTCACTTTTGTTAACAAAATTAACGTTTTAACCATAACGTGAATCAGCTCGTGCAGCCCCTCCCCCCTTTTCCATGGTTCCAGCTCTAATAATAGTCGTCGCTACACTCGTCAGACTGAGAACTGGCACTCTCACAGCAGGTGGCCGTCTTCTTCTTGCAGGCGTTCGGTCTGGGACAAAACGCCTTACAGCCGTGGTAGGGGATACAGCCGTAGTAGTAGCTGGGGATGAGAGGGCCAAAGTTAGATTCTTACAGCCGTTAGATTCTTACAGCCGTTAGGTTCTTACAGCCGTTAGATTCTTACAGCCGTTAGATTCTTACAGCCGTTAGATTCTTACAGCCGTTAGATTCTTACAGCTGTTAGATTCTTACAGCCGTTAGATTCTTACAGCCGTTAGATTCTTACAGCCGTGGTAGTAGCTGGGAACGAGAAGGCCAGAGTAAGACTGGCGGATAACAAAAAGCTTATACTGCTGGCAACAATTAGTTTTTGCACGTGTGATCAGAATGAAATCAATGTTTCGCGCTGATAACTTGCTGATCTAGTCAAAGAAAAATAATAGATGGAGTGACGACCCCCCCATGTGTGTGAGTGAGTACCTACTTGTAGAAGTAGATGGAGTGTGTGAGTGTGTGAGTGTGTGGGTGTGTGGGTGTGTGAGTGTGTGAGTGAGCACCTACTTGTAGAAGTAGATGAAGTGTGTCGGTGTGTGAGTGTGTGAGTGTGTGAGTGTGTGAGTGAGCACCTACTTGTAGAAGTAGATGGAGTGTGTGAGTGTGTGAGTGTGTTAGTGAGTACCTACTTGTAGAAGTAGATAGAGTGTGTGAGTGTGTGAGTGAGTACCTACTTGTAGAAGTAGATGGAGTGTGTGAGTGAGTGTGTGAGTGAGTGTGTGGGTGAGTACCTACTTGTAGAAGTATATGGTGTGTGTGAGTGTGTGAGTGAGTACCTACTTGTAGAAGTAGATGGTGTGTGTGAGTGTGTTAGTGAGTACCTACTTGTAGAAGTAGATGGTGTGTGTGAGTGTGTTAGTGAGTACCTACTTGTAGAAGTAGATGGAGTGTGTGAGTGTGTGAGTGTGTTAGTGAGTACCTACTTGTAGAAGTAGATGGAGTGTGTGAGTGTGTGAGTGAGCACCTACTTGTAGAAGTAGATGGAGTGTGTGAGTGTGTGAGTGTGTTAGTGAGTACCAACTTGTAGAAGTAGATGGAGTGTGTGAGTGTGTGAGTGAGCACCTACTTGTAGAAGTAGATGGAGTGTGTGAGTGTGTGAGTGTGTTAGTGAGTACCTACTTGTAGAAGTAGATGGAGTGTGTGAGTGTGTGAGTGAGTACCTACTTGTAGAAGTAGATGGAGTGTGTGAGTGAGTGTGTGAGTGAGTGTGTGGGTGAGTACCTACTTGTAGAAGTAGATGGTATGTGTGAGTGTGTTAGTGAGCACCTACTTGTAGAAGTAGATGGAGTGTGTGAGTGTGTTAGTGAGTAACTACTTGTAGAAGTAGATGGAGTGTGTGGGAAAGCACCTACTTGTAGAAGTATATGGTGTGTGTGAGTGTGTGAGTGAGTACCTACTTGTAGAAGTAGATGGAGTGTGTGAGTGTGTGAGTGTGTTAGTGAGTACCTACTTGTAGAAGTAGATGGTGTGTGTGAGTGTGTTAGTGAGTACCTACTTGTAGAAGTAGATGGAGTGTGTGAGTGTGTGGGTGTGTGAGTGTGTGAGTGAGCACCTACTTGTAGAAGTTGATGGTGTGTGTGAGTGTGTGAGTGAGTACCTACTTGTAGAAGTAGATGGAGTGTGTGAGTGTGTGGGTGTGTGAGTGTGTGAGTGAGCACCTACTTGTAGAAGTAGATGGAGTGTGTGAGTGTGTGAGTGAGTACCTACTTGTAGAAGTAGATGGAGTGTGTGAGTGTGTGAGTGAGCACCTACTTGTAGAAGTAGATGGAGTGTGTGAGTGTGTGAGTGAGCACCTACTTGTAGAAGTAGATGGAGTGTGTGAGTGTGTGAGTGAGCACCTACTTGTAGAAGTAGATGGAGTGTGTGAGTGTGTGAGTGAGCACCTACTTGTAGAAGTAGATGGAGTGTGTGAGTGTGTGAGTGAGCACCTACTTGTAGAAGTAGATGGAGTGTGTGAGTGAGTGTGTGAGTGAGTACCTACTTGTAGAAGTAGATGGAGTGTGTGAGTGAGTGTGTGAGTGAGCACCTACTTGTAGAAGTAGATGGAGTGTGTGAGTGTGTGAGTGAGCACCTACTTGTAGAAGTAGATGGAGTGTGTGAGTGTGTGAGTGAGCACCTACTTGTAGAAGTAGATGGAGTGTGTGAGTGTGTGAGTGAGCACCTACTTGTAGAAGTAGATGGAGTGTGTGAGTGTGTGAGTGAGCACCTACTTGTAGAAGTAGATGGAGTGTGTGAGTGTGTGAGTGAGCACCTACTTGTAGAAGTAGATGGAGTGTGTGAGTGTGTGAGTGAGTACCTACTTGTAGAAGTAGATGGAGTGTGTGAGTGAGTGTGTGAGTGAGCACCTACTTGTAGAAGTAGATGGAGTGTGTGAGTGTGTGAGTGAGCACCTACTTGTAGAAGTAGATGGAGTGTGTGAGTGTGTGAGTGAGCACCTACTTGTAGAAGTAGATGGAGTGTGTGAGTGTGTGAGTGAGCACCTACTTGTAGAAGTAGATGGAGTGTGTGAGTGTGTGAGTGAGCACCTACTTGTAGAAGTAGATGGAGTGTGTGAGTGTGTGAGTAAGCACCTACTTGTAGAAGTAGATGGAGTGTGTGAGTGAGTGAGTAAGCACCTACTTGTAGAAGTAGATGGAGTGTGTGAGTGAGTGAGTAAGCACCTACTTGTAGAAGTAGATGGAGTGTGTGAGTAAGCACCTACTTGTAGAAGTAGATGGAGTGTGTGAGTGTGTGAGTGTGTGAGTGAGCACCTACTTGTAGAAGTAGATGGAGTGTGTGAGTGAGCACCTACTTGTAGAAGTAGATGGAGTGTGTGAGTGAGCACCTACTTGTAGAAGTAGATGGAGTGTGTGAGTGAGCACCTACTTGTAGAAGTAGATGGAGTGTGTGAGTGAGCACCTACTTGTAGAAGTAGATGGAGTGTGTGAGTGAGCACCTACTTGTAGAAGTAGATGGAGTGTGTGAGTGAGCACCTACTTGTAGAAGTAGATGGAGTGTGCGAGTGAGTACCTACTTGTAGAAGTAGATGGAGTGTGTGAGTGTGTGAGTGAGCACCTACTTGTAGAAGTAGATGGAGTGTGTGAGTGTGTGAGTGAGCACCTACTTGTAGAAGTAGATGGAGTGTGTGAGTGTGTGAGTGAGTACCTACTTGTAGAAGTAGATGGAGTGTGTGAGTGAGCACCTACTTGTAGAAGTAGATGGAGTGTGTGAGTGAGTACCTACTTGTAGAAGTAGATGGAGTGTGTGAGTGAGTACCTACTTGTAGAAGTAGATGGAGTGTGTGAGTGAGTACCTACTTGTAGAAGTAGATGGAGTGTGTGAGTGAGCACCTACTTGTAGAAGTAGATGGAGTGTGTGAGTGAGCACCTACTTGTAGAAGTAGATAGAGTGCAGCAGCAGGACGAAGGCCACCAACAGCAAGAGGGCGTCCCTGTACAGCGACAGCAGGTCCTTGTTTTCACAGTTGGTCAGGAACATGATGACGTAGGGCAGCACGTCATAGATGGGCAGCCAGATACTGACAGAGGAAACAGGTCATAGATGGGCAGCCAGATACTGACAGAGGAAACAGGTCATAGATGGGCAGCCAGATACTGACAGAGGAAACACGACAGATAGATGGGCAGCCAGATACTGACAGAGGAAACACGACAGGTCATAGATGGGCAGCCAGATACTGATAGAGGAAACACGACAGTTCATAGATGGGCAGCCAGATACTGACAGAGGAAACACGACAGGTCATAGATGGGCAGCCAGATACTGACAGAGGAAACACGACAGGTCATAGATGGGCAGCCAGATACTGACAGAGGAAACAAGTCATAGATGGACAGACAGATACTGACAGAGGAAACACGAAGGTCATAGATGGGCAGCCAGATACTGACAGAGGAAACACGAAGGTCATAGATGGGCAGCCAGATACTGACAGAGGAAACACGAAGGTCATAGATGGGCAGCCAGATACTGACAGAGGAAACACGACAGATAGATGGGCAGCCAGATCCTGACAGAGGAAACACGACAGATAGATGGGCAGCCAGATACGGACAGAGGAAACACGACAGATAGATGGGCAGCCAGATACTGACAGAGGAAACACGAAGGTCATAGATGGGCAGCCAGATACTGACAGAGGAAACACGACAGATAGATGGGCAGACAGATACTGACAGAGGAAACACGACAGATAGATGGGCAGACAGATACTGACAGAGGAAACACGACAGGTCATAGATGGGCAGCCAGATACTGACAGAGGAAACACGACAGATAGATGGGCAGCCAGATACTGACAGAGGAAACAGGTCATAGATGGGCAGCCAGATACTGACAGAGGAAACAGGTCATAGATGGGCAGCCAGATACTGACAGAGGAAACACGACAGATAGATGGGCAGCCAGATACTGACAGAGGAAACACGACAGGTCATAGATGGGCAGCCAGATACTGATAGAGGAAACACGACAGTTCATAGATGGGCAGCCAGATACTGACAGAGGAAACACGACAGGTCATAGATGGGCAGCCAGATACTGACAGAGGAAACACGACAGGTCATAGATGGGCAGCCAGATACTGACAGAGGAAACAAGTCATAGATGGACAGACAGATACTGACAGAGGAAACACGAAGGTCATAGATGGGCAGCCAGATACTGACAGAGGAAACACGAAGGTCATAGATGGGCAGCCAGATACTGACAGAGGAAACACGAAGGTCATAGATGGGCAGCCAGATACTGACAGAGGAAACACGACAGATAGATGGGCAGCCAGATCCTGACAGAGGAAACACGACAGATAGATGGGCAGCCAGATACGGACAGAGGAAACACGACAGATAGATGGGCAGCCAGATACTGACAGAGGAAACACGAAGGTCATAGATGGGCAGCCAGATACTGACAGAGGAAACACGACAGATAGATGGGCAGACAGATACTGACAGAGGAAACACGACAGATAGATGGGCAGACAGATACTGACAGAGGAAACACGACAGGTCATAGATGGGCAGCCAGATACTGACAGAGGAAACACGACAGATAGATGGGCAGCCAGATACGGACAGAGGAAACACGACAGGTCATAGATGGGCAGCCAGATACTGACAGAGGAAACACGACAGATAGATGGGCAGCCAGATACTGACAGAGGAAACACGACAGGTCATAGATGGGCAGACAGATACTGACAGAGGAAACACGACAGGTCATAGATGGGCAGCCAGATACTGACAGAGGAAACACGACAGGTCATAGATGGGCAGCCAGATACTGACAGAGGAAACACGACAGATAGATGGGCAGCCAGATACTGACAGAGGAAACACGACAGGTCATAGATGGGCAGCCAGATACTGATAGAGGAAACACGACAGTTCATAGATGGGCAGCCAGATACTGACAGAGGAAACACGACAGATAGATGGGCAGCCAGATACTGACAGAGGAAACACGACAGATAGATGGGCAGCCAGATACTGACAGAGGAAACACGACAGATAGATGGGCAGCCAGATACTGACAGAGGAAACAAGTCATAGATGGACAGACAGATACTGACAGAGGAAACACGACAGATAGATGGGCAGACAGATACTGACAGAGGAAACACGACAGATAGATGGGCAGCCAGATACTGACAGAGGAAACACGACAGATAGATGGGCAGCCAGATACTGACAGAGGAAACACGACAGGTCATAGATGGGCAGCCAGATACTGACAGAGGAAACACGACAGATAGATGGGCAGACAGATACTGACAGAGGAAACACGATAGATAGATGGGCAGCCAGATACTGACAGAGGAAACACGACAGATACTTAAACCATCCGTGGCGGGGGGGGGGAGACGTAAATTTAAATCCTATATTATCCTTAACTCTGTCACGACCTCTCTACTCCTGATCAACGTAGGACGTCATTAACACACAAGTAATGACGTCATTGACTTACTAGGTCATGATGACCCCCGGCACGGCCAGAAAGAGTCCAAAGACCGCGAGCCTCTTGAGAAACGACAGGGTGTAAATCCGGTACCACGCCCACCGCCGCAGGATCCGCTCAATCCACATGATGAGGAAGATGGTGTTAATCCAGGCGATGAATGGATACTGTGGATGGTGGATGCATTGTTGCACGTGTACGGTGAGGTTAGCACATACACGTGTGCTCAGTCACTCACACGCACAAACACACGTGCACGCAAACACACAGAGCCTCTCAAGTTTACTGACATATTTTGTACAAACAGACGCACATAGACCAAAGCATACAACAGATAACATACATACATACACATAACCTGCGCACACGTTTTCACACATAAGCACATTTAGCACATTTAACAACACACCCATACATGTGCACCCATACGCACATAGACCCTCGCACACTTGTGCACCCATACGCACATAGACCCCCGCCAGAGTTTCTTCCAGGCATCTCTTCGGGGGGGGGGGGGGCACTGCTCCCCCCCCCCCCCCCGAACGAAATGGAAATTATATAGAAAATATATACTTTTAACCGTGTCCGCCTCCCCCCCCCTCGAAAATTGTTGTCCGCCCTCCCCCCCCCCCCCCCACCCGAAAATTTCAAGTGCACCCCCGGAGAAAAAAGTCTGGAAGAAACACTGCATACGTGTGCGCCCATAAGCACATAGACCCCCGCACACGTGTGCATCCATACGCACATAGACCCACGCACACGTGTGCACCCATACGCACAAGGAACCAAGCACACTTGTGCACCCATACACATAGACCCCCGCACATGTGTGCACCCATATGCATATAGACCCCCGCACATGTGTGCACCCATACGCACATAGACGATCCAGCCGAGAAGGTGAGGGTTGATCAAGAGCGCCACTATAAGACCCAGCTCGTGCGTCCTGATGCCAAACTTCTGGATGTTGAGCAGGACGGTTAGAGGCACCACGAAGTTCCAGAACAGCACAAACCCGCCGGGGGTCTGGGTGGTCAACTGACCAGGGGGGGTCGGCTAAACGGGGGGGGGGGGGGGGTAAAGAAAGAGGACAGAGGAGTTCAATGTAGGGCCGTATGATATCTTGGGTGTATGAAATGTATGGCGTAGTAGGGGCAACTTGTGTGTCTTACAGGGGTACGTCTTGTGTCGTGTAGGGGTACGTCGTGTGTCGTGTAGGGGTACGTCGTGGAGGGGTGTGTCGTGTAGGGGTATGTCGTGTAGGGGTATGTCGTGTGTCGTGTAGGGGTATGTCGTGTAGGGGTATGTCGTGTATCGTGTAGGGGTACGTCGTGTGTCGTGTAGGGGTACGTCGTGGAGGGGTGTGTCGTGTAGGGGTATGTCGTGTGTCGTGTAGGGGTACGTCGTTTAGGGGTACCTCGTGTGTCGTGTAGGGGTACGTCGTGTAGGGGTATGTCGTGTGTCGTGTAGGGGTACGTCGTGGAGGGGTGTGTCGTGTAGGGGTATGTCGTGTGTCGTGTAGGGGTACGTCGTTTAGGGGTACCTCGTGTGTCGTGTAGGGGTACGTCGTGGAGGGGTGTGTCGTGTAGGGGTATGTCGTGTGTCGTGTAGGGGTACGTCGTGTGTCGTGTAGGGGTACGTCGTGTGTCGTGTAGGGGTATGTCGTGTGTCGTGTAGGGGTACGTCGTGTGTCGTGTAGGGGTACGTCGTGTGTCGTGTAGGGGTATGTCGTGTGTCGTGTAGGGGTACGTCGTGTTTCGTGTAGGGGTACGTCGTGTAGGGGTACCTCGTGTGTCGTGTAGGGGTATGTCGTGTGTCGTGTAGGGGTACGTCGTGTATGGGTACGTCGTGTGTCGTGTAGGGGTACGTCGTGTGTCGTGTAGGGGTACGTCGTGTGTCGTGTAGGGGTACGTCGTGTGTCGTGTAGGGGTACGTCGTGTGTCGTGTAGGGGTACGTCGTGTGTCGTGTAGGGGTACGTCCTGTGTCGTGTAGGGGTACGTCGTGTGTCTTGTAGGGGTAACTCATGGTCAGAGTTTCTTCCAGGCATCTCTTCGGGGGGGGCGAAGCCCCCCCCCCCCCCCCCCCCGAAAAATTTTTACCGCCCCCCCCCGAACGAAATGAAATTTATATAATTTATATAGAAAATATATACTTTTAACAGTGTCCGCCCCCCCGAAGAAAGTTTACCGCCCCCCCGAAGATTTCAAGTGCCCCCCCGGAGAAAAAAGTCTGGAAGAAACACTGGTCATGGTCCCGCTTACCAACCCGCCAGTGACAAAAGTCAAATACCAGTTTATTATAAATGAAAATCTTTAGATCTAATGTCTACTCCGCTTAACATTACCATTTTGATATTTTGATGCTCCACACTAAGCTAAAGATGTTTTGTTTTCTCAATAAATTGGATTAGTTTACGATTAGCTCTTCAAGTTTTAAACCAGAGCCATTTCTCGGGGATGTTTCTTTTCTGTAGCTGAAAGTCCTTACACCGGAAGTAGAGACAATGTTTCTCTTTTCAAATCGACCAATGAAAAACACCCACCTAAAAGTTAATAATTATTCCTTTATTAAACATCGATTTTCTTTACATTTAACAATGATAAGTTTATTTTACACGTTATTTTGTTAACTAATTTGATATAGATCTATGTATTGATACATGTATTATCTGAATCTCTGTTGATTTGGTGTAATAAAGATATAAACGGTTAAATGGATGTAACATAGTGCACTCCAATGGAAATTCCCGATGTGCGTACAAGCAATCTTTCCTCATTGTAAACGGAAGTCTGTGGGTATAGTGTACTGTAAGTGTAGTGAAACAACTATAAGAATTGATTTACGTGAGCTGGCGGAATAAATTCATTTCGGAGTTGTAATTGGTAAAACATTTCGCTAACAAGAAACTGATCCTAATATCTAAATTAATTAATTAACTACCAATAAAAAAATAACTTTAGCTTAGACTACTATAAAAGTCAGAAACTGTCAGCGCGATTCACCTTCCGTATAAGTTATAAACACCAAAATAAACGTCTATCAAATCAATTTTAAAATTGAAATTTACGCCATATTTAATGTTGAATAATAAGGGAGGTAATAATTACGGTCTACAATAGCCGTCTTTTTTATCTTGTTGTTTCCCTTTGACTATAAATTTTTATTTTTCTATATTTTTTTTTTTTTTTTTTTTTTTTTTGTCATTTTTGCTTTATTGGTCAAAACGCCTAAACTAAATTAATTACAATTTTAAAAAATTTAATCAGTGCTTGTGTTTTAAGTTCTCAACTGTGGAATTTGGGGTCGGAAATTAAAATTGTTTTGTTTTCAACATCGCCTCCTCTAGTTCAACATCATTACACGCCTAAACATTTGAAACAGATTGACGAAAAAGACCACATGTCTCTCCAGCAGTCAGTACCCACCTGTCACCACCTGTCTCTCCAGCAGTCAGTACCCACCTGTAACCACCTGTCTCTCCAGCAGTCAGTACCCACCTGTCAGCTGTCTCTCCAGCAGTCAGTACCCACCTGTCAGCTGTCTCTCCAGCAGTCAGTACCCACCTGTCACCTGTCACCACCTGTCTCTCCAGCAGTCAGTACCCACCTGTCACCTGTCACCACCTGTCTCTACAGCAGTCATTCCCCACCTGTCACCACCTGTCTCTCCAGCAGTCAGTACCCACCTGTCACCACCTGTCACCTGTCTCTCCAGCAGTCAGTACCCACCTGTAACCACCTGTCTCTCCAGCAGTCAGTACCCACCTGTCACCTGTCTCTCCAGCAGTCAGTACCCACCTGTCACCTGTCTCTCCAGCAGTCAGTACCCACCTGTCTCTCCAGCAGTCAGTACCCACCTGTCACCTGTCTCTCCAGCAGTCAGTACCCACCTGTCACCTGTCTCTCCAGCAGTCAGTACCCACCTGTCACCTGTCTCTCCAGCAGTCAGTACCCACCTGTCTCTCCAGCAGTCAGTACCCACCTGTCACCTGTCTCTCCAGCAGTCAGTACCCACCTGTCACCTGTCTCTCCAGCAGTCAGTACCCACCTGTCACCTGTCTCTCCAGCAGTCAGTACCCACCTGTCACCTGTCTCTCCAGCAGTCAGTACCCACCTGTCACCTGTCTCTCCAGCAGTCAGTACCCACCTGTCACCTGTCACCTGTCTCTCCAGCAGTCAGTACCCACCTGTCACACCTGTCTCTCCAGCAGTCAGTACCCACCTGTCACCTGTCTCTCCAGCAGTCAGTACCCACCTGTCACCTGTCTCTCCAGCAGTCAGTACCCACCTGTCTCTCCAGCAGTCAGTACCCACCTGTCACCTGTCTCTCCAGCAGTCAGTACCCACCTGTCACCTGTCTCTCCAGCAGTCAGTACCCACCTGTCACCTGTCTCTCCAGCAGTCAGTACCCACCTGTCTCTCCAGCAGTCAGTACCCACCTGTCACCTGTCTCTCCAGCAGTCAGTACCCACCTGTCACCTGTCACCTGTCTCTCCAGCAGTCAGTACCCACCTGTCACACCTGTCTCTCCAGCAGTCAGTACCCACCTGTCACCTGTCTCTCCAGCAGTCAGTACCCACCTGTCACCTGTCTCTCCAGCAGTCAGTACCCACCTGTCTCTCCAGCAGTCAGTACCCACCTGTCACCTGTCTCTCCAGCAGTCAGTACCCACCTGTCACCTGTCTCTCCAGCAGTCAGTACCCACCTGTCACACCTGTCTCTCCAGCAGTCAGTACCCACCTGTCTCTCCAGCAGTCAGTACCCACCTGTCACCTGTCTCTCCAGCAGTCAGTACCCACCTGTCACCTGTCTCTCCAGCAGTCAGTACCCACCTGTCACCTGTCTCTCCAGCAGTCAGTACCCACCTGTCTCTCCAGCAGTCAGTACCCACCTGTCACCTGTCTCTCCAGCAGTCAGTACCCACCTGTCACCTGTCTCTCCAGCAGTCAGTACCCACCTGTCACACCTGTCTCTCCAGCAGTCAGTACCCACCTGTCTCTCCAGCAGTCAGTACCCACCTGTCACCTGTCTCTCCAGCAGTCAGTACCCACCTGTCACCTGTCACCTGTCTCTCCAGCAGTCAGTACTCACCTGTCACCTGTCTCTCCAGCAGTCAGTACCCACCTGCCACCTGTCACCTGTCTCTCCAGCAGTCAGTACCCACCTGTCACACCTGTCTCTCCAGCAGTCAGTACCCACCTGTCACCTGTCTCTCCAGCAGTCAGTACCCACCTGTCACCTGTCTCTCCAGCAGTCAGTACCCACCTGTCACCTGTCACTCCAGCAGTCAGTACCCACCTGTCACCTGTCTCTCCAGCAGTCAGTACCCACCTGTCACCTGTCTCTCCAGCAGTCAGTACCCACCTGTCACCTGTCTCTCCAGCAGTCAGTACCCACCTGTCACCTGTCTCTCCAGCAGTCAGTACCCACCTGTCTCTCCAGCAGTCAGTACCCACCTGTCACCTGTCACCCACCCACGCCTTCATGGAGTTCATTGCCCCCACGGTCAGGTGGTTGTTTTTCTGTGACGATGACGACGATTGTTCTGAGAGTGGTCAGTGCACCTGCTCGCCGCCCAGCTGCCCGTCCGACAGGTGGCGCCTGCTGCTGTGGTTCACGCTGCACACGCTGGTCTGGTGCACGGCTGACCACACCTGGACCAACGTGGCTGTGGCCTTCACCTGTCTAGGTAAGTGCTGTCTGTCTAGGTAAGTGCTGTCTGTCTAGGTAAGTGCTGTCTGTCTAGGTAAGTGCTGTCTGTCTAGGTAAGTGCTGTCTGTCTAGGTAAGTGCTGTCTGTCTAGGTAAGTGCTGTCTGTCTAGGTAAGTGCTGTCTGTAAGTGCTGTCTGTAAGTGCTGTCTGTCTAGGTAAGTGCTGTCTGTCTAGGTAAGTGCTGTCTGTCTAGGTAAGTGCTGTCTGTAAGTGTTGTCTGTAAGTGCTGTCTGTCTAGGTAAGTTCTGTCTGTCTAGGTAAGTGCTGTCTATCTAGGTAAGTGCTGTCTGTCTATGTAAGATTGTTGTCTGTCTAGGTAAGTGCTGTCTGTCTAGGTAAGTGCTGTCTGTCTAGGTAAGTGCTGTCTGTCTAGGTAAGTGCTGTCTGTCTAGGTAAGTGCTGTCTGTAAGTGTTGTCTGTAAGTGCTGTCTGTCTAGGTAAGTGCTGTCTGTCTAGGTAAATGCTGTCTGTCTAGGTAAGTGCTGTCTGTCTAGGTAAGTGCTGTCTGTCTAGGTAAGTGCTGTCTGTCAAGGTAAGTGCTGTCTGTCTAGGTAAGTGATGTCTGTCTAGGTAAGATTGCTGTCTTTCTAGGTAAGATTGCTGTCTAGGTAAGTGCTGTCTGTCTAGGTAAGTGCTGTCTGTCTAGGTAAGTGCTGTCTGTAAGTGTTGTCTGTAAGTGCTGTCTGTCTAGGTAAGTTCTGTCTGTCTAGGTAAGTGCTGTCTATCTAGGTAAGTGCTGTCTGTCTATGTAAGATTGTTGTCTGTCTAGGTAAGTGCTGTCTGTCTAGGTAAGTGCTGTCTGTCTAGGTAAGTGCTGTCTGTCTATGTAAGATTGTTGTCTGTCTATGTAAGTGCTGTCTGTCTAGGTAAGTGCTGTCTGTCTAGGTAAGTGCTGTCTGTCTATGTAAGATTGTTGTCTGTCTAGGTAAGTGCTGTCTGTCTAGGTAAGTGCTCTCTGTCTAGGTAAGTGCTGTCTGTCTAGGTAAGATTGCTGTCCGTCTAGGTAAGATTGCTGTCTGTAAGTGCTGTCTGTCTAGGTAAGTGCTGTCTGTCTAGGTAAGTGCTGTCTGTCTAGGTAAGTGCTGTCTGTCTATTGAAGATTGCTGTCTGTCTAGGTAAGTGCTGTCTGTCTAGGTAAGTGCTGTCTGTCTAGGTAAGTGCTGTCTGTCTAGGTAAGTGCTGTCTATCTAGGTAAGTGCTGTCTGTCTATGTAAGTGCTGTCTGTCTATGTAAGTGCTGTCTGTCTAGGTAAGTGCTGTCTGTCTAGGTAAGTGCTGTCTGTCTAGGTAAGTGCTGTCTGTCTAGGTAAGTGCTGTCTGTCTAGGTAAGTGCTGTCTGTCTAGGTAAGTGCTGTCTGTCTATGTAAGATTGCTGTCTGTCTAGGTAAGTGCTGTCTGTCTAGGTAAGTGCTGTCTGTCAAGGTAAGTGCTGTCTGTCTATGTAAGTGCTATCTGTCTAGGTAAGTGCTGTCTGTCTAGGTAAATGCTGTCTGTCTAGGTAAGTGCTGTCTGTCTAGGTAAGTGCTGTCTGTCTAGGTAAGATTGCTGTCTGTCTAGGTAAGTGCTGTCTGTCTAGGTAAGTGCTGTCTGTCTAGGTAAGATTGCTGTCTAGGTAAGTGCTGTCTGTCTAGGTAAGTGCTGTCTGTCTAGGTAAGTGCTGTCTGTTTAGGTAAGTGCTGTCTGTCTAGGTAAGATTGCTGTCTGTCTAGGTAAGTGCTGTCTGTCTAGGTAAGTGCTGTCTGTCTAGGTAAGTGCTGTCTGTCTAGGTAAGTGCTGTCTGTCTAGGTAAGTGCTGTCTGTCTAGGTAGTGCTGTCTGTCTATGTAAGATTGCTGTCTGTCTAGGTAAGTGCTGTCTATCTAGGTAACTGCTGTCTGTCGAGGTTAGATTGCTGTCTGTCTAGGTAAGTGCTGTCTGTCTAGGTAAGTGCTGTCTGTCTAGGTAAGTGCTGTCTGTCTAGGTAAGTGCTGTCTGTCAAGGTAAGTGCTGTCTGTCTAGGTAAGTGATGTCTGTCTAGGTAAGATTGCTGTCTTTCTAGGTAAGATTGCTGTCTATGTAAGATTGCTGTCTGTCTAGGTAAGTGCTGTCTATCTAGGTAAGTGCTGTCTGTCGAGGTTAGATTGCTGTCTGTCTAGGTAAGTGCTGTCTGTCTATGTAAGTGCTGTCTGTCTAGGTAAGTGCTGTCTGTCTAGGTAAGTGCTGTCTGTCAAGGTAAGTGCTGTCTGTCTAGGTAAGTGATGTCTGTCTAGGTAAGATTGCTGTCTTTTTAGGTAAGATTGCTGTCTAGGTAAGTGCTGTCTGTCTAGGTAAGATTGCTGTCTGTCTAGGTAAGTGCTGTCTGTCTAGGTAAGTGCTGTCTGTTTAGGTAAGTGCTGTCTGTCTAGGTAAGATTGCTGTCTGTCTAGGTAAGTGCTGTCTGTCTAGGTAAGTGCTGTCTGTCTAGGTAAGTGCTGTCTGTCTAGGTAAGTGCTGTCTGTCTAGGTAAGTGCTGTCTGTCTAGGTAAGTGCTGTCTGTCTATGTAAGATTGCTGTCTGTCTAGGTAAGTGCTGTCTATCTAGGTAAGTGCTGTCTGTCGAGGTTAGATTGCTGTCTGTCTAGGTAAGTGCTGTCTGTCTATGTAAGTGCTGTCTGTCTAGGTAAGTGCTGTCTGTCTAGGTAAGTGCTGTCTGTCTAGGTAAGTGCTGTCTGTCTAGGTAAGTGCTGTCTGTCTAGGTAAGTGCTGTCTGTCTAGGTAAGTGCTGTCTGTCAAGGTAAGTGCTGTCTGTCTAGGTAAGTGCTGTCTGTCTAGGTAAGTGCTGTCTGTCTAGGTAAGTGCTGTCTGTCTAGGTAAGTGCTGTCTGTCTAGGTAAGTGCTGTCTGTCTAGGTAAGATTGCTGTCTGTCTAGGTAAGTGCTGTCTGTCTAGGTAAGTGCTGTCTGTCTAGGTAAGATTGCTGTCTAGGTAAGTGCTGTCTGTCTAGGTAAGTGCTGTCTGTCTAGGTAAGTGCTGTCTGTCGAGGTTAGATTGCTGTCTGTCTAGGTAAGTGCTGTCTGTCTATGTAAGTGCTGTCTGTCTAGGTAAGTGCTGTCTGTCTAGGTAAGTGCTGTCTGTCAAGGTAAGTGCTGTCTGTCTAGGTAAGTGATGTCTGTCTAGGTAAGATTGCTGTCTTTCTAGGTAAGTGCTGTCTGTCTATGTAAGATTGCTGTCTGTCTAGGTAAGTGCTGTCTATCTAGGTAAGTGCTGTCTGTCGAGGTTAGATTGCTGTCTGTCTAGGTAAGTGCTGTCTGTCTATGTAAGTGCTGTCTGTCTAGGTAAGTGCTGTCTGTCTAGGTAAGTGCTGTCTGTCAAGGTAAGTGCTGTCTGTCTAGGTAAGTGATGTCTGTCTAGGTAAGATTGCTGTCTTTTTAGGTAAGATTGCTGTCTACGTAAGTGCTGTCTGTCTAGGTAAGATTGCTGTCTGTCTAGGTAAGTGCTGTCTGTCTAGGTAAGTGCTGTCTGTTTAGGTAAGTGCTGTCTGTCTAGGTAAGATTGCTGTCTGTCTAGGTAAGTGCTGTCTGTCTAGGTAAGTGCTGTCTGTCTAGGTAAGTGCTGTCTGTCTAGGTAAGTGCTGTCTTTCTAGGTAAGTGCTGTCTGTCTATGTAAGATTGCTGTCTGTCTAGGTAAGTGCTGTCTATCTAGGTAAGTGCTGTCTGTCGAGGTTAGATTGCTGTCTGTCTAGGTAAGTGCTGTCTGTCTATGTAAGTGCTGTCTGTCTAGGTAAGTGCTGTCTGTCTAGGTAAGTGCTGTCTGTCTAGGTAAGTGCTGTCTGTCAAGGTAAGTGCTGTCTGTCTAGGTAAGTGCTGTCTGTCTAGGTAAGTGCTGTCTGTCTAGGTAAGTGCTGTCTGTCTAGGTAAGTGCTGTCTGTCTAGGTAAGTGCTGTTTGTCTAGGTAAGTGCTGTCTGTCTAGGTAAGTGCTGTCTGTCTAGGTAAGTGCTGTCTGTCTAGGTAAGTGCTCTCTGTCTATGTAAGATTGCTGTCTGTCTAGGTAAGTGCTGTCTGTCTAGGTAAGTGCTGTCTGTCTAGGTAAATGCTGTCTGTCTAGGTAAGTGCTGTCTGTCTAGGTAAGTGCTGTCTGTCTAGGTAAGTGCTGTCTGTCTAGGTAAGTGCTGTCTGTCTATGTAAGATTGTTGTCTGTCTAGGTAAGTGCTGTCTGTCTAGGTAAGTGCTGTCTGTCTAGCTAAGTGCTGTCTGTCTATGTAAGATTGTTGTCTGTCTAGGTAAGTGCTGTCTGTCTAGGTAAGTGCTGTCTGTTTAGGTAAGTGCTGTCTGTCTAGGTAAGATTGCTGTCTGTCTAGGTAAGTGCTGTCTGTCTAGGTAAGTGCTGTCTGTCTAGGTAAGTGCTGTCTGTCTAGGTAAGTGCTGTCTGTCTATGTAAGATTGCTGTCTGTCTAGGTAAGTGCTGTCTATCTAGGTAAGTGCTGTCTGTCGAGGTTAGATTGCTGTCTGTCTAGGTAAGTGCTGTGTGTCTATGTAAGTGCTGTCTGTCTAGGTAAGTGCTGTCTGTCTAGGTAAGTGCTGTCTGTCAAGGTAAGTGCTGTCTGTCTAGGTAAGTGATGTCTGTCTAGGTAAGATTGCTGTCTTTCTAGGTAAGATTGCTGTCTATGTAAGATTGCTGTCTGTCTAGGTAAGTGCTGTCTATCTAGGTAAGTGCTGTCTGTCGAGGTTAGATTGCTGTCTGTCTAGGTAAGTGCTGTCTGTCTATGTAAGTGCTGTCTGTCTAGGTAAGTGCTGTCTGTCTAGGTAAGTGCTGTCTGTCAAGGTAAGTGCTGTCTGTCTAGGTAAGTGATGTCTGTCTAGGTAAGATTGCTGTCTTTCTAGGTAAGATTGCTGTCTAGGTAAGTGCTGTCTGTCTAGGTAAGATTGCTGTCTGTCTAGGTAAGTGCTGTCTGTCTAGGTAAGTGCTGTCTGTTTAGGTAAGTGCTGTCTGTCTAGGTAAGATTGCTGTCTGTCTAGGTAAGTGCTGTCTGTCTATGTAAGATTGCTGTCTGTCTAGGTAAGTGCTGTCTATCTAGGTAAGTGCTGTCTGTCGAGGTTAGATTGCTGTCTGTCTAGGTAAGTGCTGTCTGTCTATGTAAGTGCTGTCTGTCTAGGTAAGTGCTGTCTGTCTAGGTAAGTGCTGTCTGTCTAGGTAAGTGCTGTCTGTCTAGGTAAGTGCTGTCTGTCTAGGTAAGTGCTGTCTGTCTAGGTAAGTGCTGTCTGTCTAGGTAAGTGCTGTCTGTCTAGGTAAGTGCTGTCTGTCTAGGTAAGTGCTGTCTGTCAAGGTAAGTGCTGTCTGTCTAGGTAAGTGCTGTCTGTCTAGGTAAGTGCTGTCTGTCTAGGTAAGTGCTGTCTGTCTAGGTAAGTGCTGTCTGTCTAGGTAAGTGCTGTTTGTCTAGGTAAGTGCTGTCTGTCTAGGTAAGTGCTGTCTGTCTATGTAAGATTGCTGTCTGTCTAGGTAAGTGCTGTCTGTCTAGGTAAGTGCTGTCTGTCTAGGTAAATGCTGTCTGTCTAGGTAAGTGCTGTCTGTCTAGGTAAGTGCTGTCTGTCTAGGTAAGTGCTGTCTGTCTATGTAAGATTGTTGTCTGTCTAGGTAAGTGCTGTCTGTCTAGGTAAGTGCTGTCTGTCTAGCTAAGTGCTGTCTGTCTATGTAAGATTGTTGTCTGTCTAGGTAAGTGCTGTCTGTCTAGGTAAGTGCTGTCTGTCTAGGTAAGTGCTGTCTGTCTAGGTAAGTGCTGTCTGTCTAGGTAAGTGCTGTCTGTCTATGTAAGATTGCTGTCTGTCTAGGTAAGTGCTGTCTGTCTAGGTAAGTGCTGTCTGTCTATGTAAGATTGTTGTCTGTCTAGGTAAGTGCTGTCTGTCTAGGTAAGATTGCAGTCTGTCCAGGTTAGTCTAAGTACGGATTTCTATTAATTTTTCTAACAACTTTATCAACGGAGATTTGTTTTTATTTTTCTATGTATGATGTCTATCTTTGTGACTATGAATTTGTTTTAATTTAATTAATAAGATTAAAACTTGAGTAATTAACATAAACAGTAAGACATTATCGCTACCCAAACACTATCATAATACATTGATATTAATCCTGACCCTACCCACTATTCCAACACTATTCCAACACTATTCCAACACTATTCCAACACTATTCCAACACTATTCCAACACTATTCCAACACTATTCCAACACTATTCCAACACTATTCCAACACTATTCCAACACTATTCCAACACTATTCCAACACTATTCCAACACTATTCCAACACTATTCCAACACTATTCCAACACTATTCCAACACTATTCCAACACTATTCCAACCCTATTCCAACCCTATTCCAACACTATTCCAACACTATTCCAACACTATTCCAACACTATTCCAACAATAAATGCGCCTACAAAATCTTGATATGATCGTTTATTTACTGGATTAAAAAAATTAACCCAAATTTTTGCCAACCAATACTCATTACTTTTTCCGTAGCTCGAAGCAATTGTTACCCATAGCTCACTCTTCGCTTCCCCCCCCCCCCCCCACCCCACAGCCGTGCTGGGCCTGACCGTCACGTCTAAGATCACCACCCTCAACAACCTGAGAACCGTCGTCATCGGTTACGTCACCCTACTCGCCACCAACATCGCCATCAGCGCGCTGATCCTCATGACGTCACGACACACCTACCTGACCTACGAATACCTGGCCAAGAAAGTTATCCTCAGGGAGAGTGAGTACGGTGTGGGGCACGTGCTTTTCTGTATGGGGTTTTAAATCACTTGACCTGGTCACTAGGTCACTTGGTCACCACTTGACTTGGTCACCGCGTGAGTTGGTCACCACTTGACTTGGTCACCGCGTGAGTTGGTCACCACTTGACTTGGTCACCGCGTGAGTTGGTCACCACTTGACTTGGTCACCGCATGATTTGTCATTAATTGAGTTGGTCACCACTTGAGTTGGTCACCGCGTGAGTTGGTCACCACTTGACTTGGTCACCACTTGACTTGGTCACCACTTGAATTGGTCACCACTTGACTTGGTCACCACTTGAATTGGTCACCACTTGACTTGGTCACCGCATGATTTGTCATTAATTGAGTTGGTCACCACTTGAGTTGGTCACCGCGTGAGTTGGTCACCACTTGACTTGGTCACCACTTGACTTGGTCACCACTTGAATTGGTCACCACTTGACTTGGTCACCACTTGAATTGGTCACCACTTGACTTGGTCACCTCTTGAATTGGTCACCACTTCAATTGGTCACCACTTGACTTGGTCACCACTTCAATTGGTCACCACTTGACTTGGTCACCACTTGAGTTGGTCACCACTTGAGTTGGTCACCACTTGAGTTAGTCACCACTGGAGCTGGTTACTCCTTGAGTTGGTCAACCCTCGACTAGGTCATGGGTTGCCAAACTGACCCAAACGTCCCCTCCCCCCCCCCCCTCCCCATACGCTTTAGACTATTTAACTATCTGCAGTGATAACACATGCAGACAATACCGGATGATCCTTTCAAGGGCTTAACGCTTTTCCTCCCGAACCAGATACATCATTCAAAGTGATAATCATGTTGATGGCCCGATTCCCACCCCTGTCTATACACACCCACCTGTATAGACGTTTCCCCCAACAGGTGAGATGTTGAGGGTCCCTTATTACCAACCAACCCTGCCCCCCCCCCTCTGTCCCCACCCACCCACCTAACGAGGCGTCTCCCCCCACAGGTGAGATGTTGAGACGCTGGTGTCCACAGACCTGTATAACTGTCGGCAGTATCACGGGAGTCACGTGCCTCATGCGGGGGCTTCACAGACAGTTCTTTTAAAGCTCGGATCTCGTGCATGTGTGTACACGTGGCTGTGTACACGTGGCTGTGTACACGTGGCTGTGTACACGTGGCTGTGTACACGTGACCTACGCCCTCACACTTTTGACCTTACACGGCTGACCAACACCCCCCACACGGCTGACCAACACCTCCACACAGCTGACCAACACCCCCCCCCACACACACACGGCTGATTTACACCTCCACACCAAACACACATAACCTACACACACTTGACATACAGCCCCACCAGCTGACCCCCCCCCCCCCCCGATCAACACCTGCAACTACCACCCAGTCAACCTGTGCTGTACATCATATGACAGACAAGTCTATTGTCTTCAGCAGAGCTCAGTGATCAGATCATGTGATCAGATCATGTGACCAGATCATGTGATCAGATCATGTGACCAGATCATGTGATCAGATCATGTGACCAGATCATGTGATCAGATCATGTGATCAGATCATGTGATCAGATGAATGCGCCTGATCCTTGTGTTCTATACACCATTAAACCTATGTTCATGTCACAACTGTGTTGGGTTATGGTTCATGAATGTGTTTATTTACATCAACAAAATTCAAGTGTATGTAACCATATCACACAAGAGGACATACTAACTACATCATCAGGTATGGGCACACACCATGTCATTAGACACCAATAGCACACATATAGATGGCACCAGACACCTCAACAGCATCCACCCTCAACACCACTCACCCCAACACCACGCACACACCCAACACCACGCACACACCCAACACCACGCACACACCCAACACCACGCACACACCCAACACCACGCACACACCCAACACCACGCACACACCCAACACCACGCACACACCCAACACCACACACCCAACACCACACACCCAACACCACACACCCAACACCACACACCCCAATAAAACAGTGCATAAAAGAACACCGAGACTGCTGTAATCAGATCATATGTTTATTCACATGTTTCTTGCATATGGTAGAATAAATAGTTGAATGATGGTACAGACTGTAAGCTATATGTGATCTACGATGGTGTTACCACAACATTACATGGAGGTGATGTGTCACCACCACAGAATTAAATGATGGTAATGTGTCACCACCACAGTATTCTATGATGGTAATGTGTCACCATCACAACATTCCATGATGGTAATGTGTCACCACCACAGTATTCCATGATGGTAATGTGTCACCACCACAAGACTCCATGGTGGTAATGTGTCACCACAACAGAATTACATGATGGTAATGTGTCACCATAACAACATTTCATGATGGTAATGTGTCACCATCACAACATTCCATGATGGTACCACAAAGCCCTCTATGAATGAGGCGTGGAATCATCACCATTCACAGATGGTACAGTCTATCAACATAAAACTCCTGGCAACAGAAACCAAGAGGGTGGAGGATACTGGGGGGGGGGGGGGGGGGGGTACACAACATAACATTGTGGACCATTAAAGGCCATGAATGGCTTGACCAGTAAAGGCCATGAATGTCTTGACCAGTAAAGGTCATGAATTGGCTTGAACAGAAAAGGCCATTGAGTTGGTGTTGAATTCTTTGACAACAGTGAACATACTCTGAACATACTCAACCACCGTAATCACAACATACTCACAGTTGGTTAGGATAAAGTTAGGGATTAGATGTTAGATCAAGCTACTCAGACAAAGGAAGGTTACCAAAATATCCAACTCAAGTCAAAGATAATAATCTTACAAAAAATGACATGATTAATTTATTATGAAAAGATTAAGCTATACAGCGCCCTAATACAACATACAAGTCTGATAAAAATTTAAAGCGAAATAAATAATATAATGAGTGTACAAGCAAATGTATGAAACAGTGCATAGTAATTATGCTTAGCATTTAATATTGGCAGTTATAAAATGTACAAAATTGGCATCTAAAATACAAAATAATTTAAAAGAGTTCACAATATATTCATGAAATAAAACAACCAATATTTTTTTGTATGAAATATTTCTTTAGTGTACATATTTTTGTATTGGAAATATTTGTGTGTGTAATGTTTTTATAATTTCTAGAATAGAAACATCTGAGAAGATGATTAATGTCAATGTCAGCTGACTGACGGCAGTATACTGAGGACAGCTGCTAGTTGTTCTAAGCCCTAATGAAAAGATATCTTGAAATGAGTAAAAAATACTTTCAACAACTCAATTTTATTTAAATGCAAACTGTCAAATCAAAATGTGCGAAAGCTACAGATGAATGAGATATTAAGGACTAAATAGCACTGAAATATAACAAAGATTGAGGGTTTAACAAAGCAGACCAATTGAATATAATATAAAATGAGGGTCAAACAGCTGACAATAGCATTGAAATATAAGAAAGAATGAAGGTTAAACAATGATAGAATGAAGGTTAAACGATGATAGAACAACTGATATGATTGGCTGGCTGAAATAAAAGCTGAATGATGGGAAAATATAAAACTACATACTTCAAATAACAGGTCAAATAACAGGTCAAATAACAGGTCAAATAAAACCAGAAAAATATTAGACCACTATTATTTTTATATAAGAGCTATATAAGAGCTAAAGCTAAAATAGTTAAATTTGCCAGTTTGCGCTTATTGTCAAAACAATTAAAATGACGTATGCTTAAAATCCGTTGCATTACATATCTTGAGGGTTAAAATATAATTTTATAATATTTTTTTTTACAGTGTAAGATATAGTTAAAATATTTGAATACATTAAAATGTAGTTCTAACAACATAACAAACTACAGCACCAGTTGTTGGGGTCTACATCTTTTCATATTCTAAGACACATTCCAATCACATAGATATTTGTTCTCAAATGTAAATCGTAACATTAGGCTATTCTTAAAATATACAATTTATTTAACAGGACAGTTCAAAGGGTATATGAGAGGTGTACATCTTTATCAGCCTACTCTCTGTAACAGTGACATAATGTAATCAAAGTGTAAGCAAGCTAGTGGGTACCTTCTAGCTAACAAACCAGACGACCACAACTAGAGAGACCACATGAATTACCACACAACCACATCATTAAATACCATAGAAAAGTGGCACTGAGAAAAACATGACTCTAGTAAAATAATTGCTTCATCATCTTTCACCAAACAACAACAATTGTCTTTTTACAAATGTAAGTTTTAAGCAGATATGAAAATAAACAAAAAGGGAGAAGGGATATAAAATTCATTAAAATCAGATGTTTATAAAATTGACCAATGAGAAGACGGGCGTGATTCACCAATCAGAAGAGAGATGTGAGTCACTCAAGTGTTTATCATCACGAGGGGCGGGTGGGGGTTTGTGACGTGTCCAGGTCTCTGAAAACGTCAGACTTCTTTTGGCACTTCTCAATGGCGTCTGTTTGGATTGGTTCACGTGATACGCTGGGCTTTCAGCGTCCCTGGTTTGGTTGCTATGGTAACCAGGAAGTGATGCAGATTGGCGCTGAGCTGGATGAGGGTGTCTGTACTCTGGAGATGGTGTCTGAGATGGTGAAAGATCTGAATGTGGATCTGAATACGTCCAAGGTGTTGGTTTACTGTGTGAATTTATCAAATGTGTGAAGTTGCTGTCTAGTGTAGATGGGCTGTCTGGGTACTTCACTGGTGTGGATGTACTGTCTGGGTACTTGACTGGTGTGGATGTACTGAAGTTACCACAGCCAGACTCCCAGATGCTCCTCTTAGAAATGCCCAGCTCATCCAGCAGACTCCTGGACTGTGTCCACTCCAGCTCCGACTCACCCTCGGGCATGAGCACACACATGAACAGCTTCTTGGCCTTCGTGTCCACGGGGGAAAACGATCTCCGCGGGGAAATGTGTCCCATCGGTCACGTACTTCACCAGGGCGGAGTAGAGTCTAGGGAACTGGTGACGCAAGATGACTCCTCTGTGACGCAGCTTTCTTTGGATGTTAATAAAACAAATTTCTCTTTGTTTTCTACCATCCACCCCCTCCCACACCCCGGGCACACCAGTTAAGATGAGCGTAGGCCCGTACCTACTGGTGGATGCTGATTGCTCTTCTACACTTGTGCCAGGTTTTCTCCTCAAACTTGCCAGGCAGAGCTTGAGCAGTTTACACTTATGGATGATGGGCCCGCGGTTCCTTACACTAGTGCAGCTGTAGTCATTGTAAGACCTGACTTTAGGACTCGATGGCTCGGTCTTTAAGGTGCCACTCATGCTGCCGTTTAGGCTGTGGTAGCCCGCGTCACTGCCAAAGCTGGTGGATCTAGTTCTAGAGAGGTTCATACTTTGGCAGCAGTCGCCAGAAAAATCTGGCACAAAGTTGATTATACCATCAACACTCTCCCTGTTCCAGCTCTGACCAACTCCAACATTTAGAACATACTGCTCCATGGGGTCGTAGTCCAGGCACAGCCGTAGAATCATGTCTAGAACATTCTTAAACACTCGGCCACACTGGAGTTCTGGAATAGTCACAAACGTGGGTTTCAGCTCCAGGGCGGGTACGCCGTGTTCCAGAAAGTTCTGAGCCGCCAGGAGATCTGGGAATCCCATGAGGATGCAGCCCCTCCCCCGGGCCATGTACCCACGCTGGGCGATCTTGGACAGGAGCTGACCCACCTGACCGCTCTGGCTGCAGAACTTGATGACCTGCTTGCACGTGCTGTTGACCAGGCTGCCGTGGCAGGCGGTCAGCTTGTGCCGGTGCCAGTCACGTGACCGGCACTCCCGGCTGCAGTAGGCGGCCGGACAGTTGTGACAGTTCTTGAACCCCAGCCTGGCCACGTCAACCGTCACGACATCCTGGCAGTTCTGGCACTGGACCAGCGAACCCTTGACCTCACTTCCGGGACTCTCTCCCCAGGTTTCGCCTCCATCCACGCCCCTGTACATCTGCTCTTGTGGGACCTCATCCTCGTCAAACACCTCAGGGAACTCCTCACCATCCTCCACAAACACCCCATCCTCCGTGCACCCGCTGCTCAGTGTCCCGTGTAACTTGCTCAACGACCCATAGTAACCGCTGTCATGGTGGCCGTCACCATAGCAACCACTCCCGCGTCTGACGTTGTTTCCCCCCACACCCCCATCAACAAACCATTTCCCGTAGATGTCTCCCGAGCTCTGAACACCCCCACAACCCTCCCCAGGTTCACAAGTTTGAGTTGATGGAACACACGTCGTAGTTTGAGAACCACTGTTGGGACGACCACACGTATCTGACAGTAGGCGATCACTGAGTGGGTTACTGTAAGAGTTAGAAAGGCACTGATTGTCAACACTAAGTCTGCTGGAGTCCGCCCTGTGTCTGGCCGCTTCCAGTAAGTCACCAAACACCTGCTCCACGCTGGCTTCCTCTAGAGCAGCTCTGGGTTCCTCTAGAGCAGCTCTGGGTTCCTCTAGAGCAGCTCTGGGAGCCACTGGGCGCTCTAACACCGCCTCCCACAACAGCACCATGTCCTGCTTGTAGCTGCAGGCCCGTGGGTCGAGTCTGGCCCGCCGGAAAGATGGGGGGTCGGAGGCCAGGACGGGGTAGGTGTAGTGTAGACAGGACATGTTCCAACACTGACGCCGGCACTGACGCCAGCACTGACTCTAGCACTGACTCCCGATGTCTAGAGTGCCAGCCACTTGTCTGTTATACTGTAGTTTCTGAAAGATAATAAAGGAATTTTGTTTACATTGACAACTGGGAATAATACTGTTATGTAAAAATTATTTTGCATAATTAAAAAAAAAACATGTTTAGGAACCTAAGAAGATTATGCTGTACTATACAGAGGCGTAGCGACCCATTCCTGGGCAAACTCTCAATTTTGTTCCCCACCCCCTTTGATACATATTTTGTTATTCACGTTGGCGAAAAACCGCCCCCCCCCCCCCGATTTGGAAAGGTCGAGGGCGCTTTTTTACCGGTCACTGTCCTTATAGTGTTTTTATTCAGTGTCACCCAGTGTCACACACTTGATGTAACAAACTATTACATCTGTCTGTAAAGAAAAGTAATGGTCTAAACATTGACTGTGTGAAATTAATGTAAGAGGGGGGGGGGGGGGGGAGTAGAACACACTGTTAGCCACTAGGGAAGATGACGACATAACACTAAAGAAATTTAGCTGTGAGATTTCGCGAGCTGGTGTAAAGAGCGAGAAACGGTTCATTGGACAAATACACAAATACATTGTTTTACGATCTAGTGTGTACGTGGAGGGGTGGGGCGAATGTAAAGCTAAACTTGCACTGTATACTGGTCATTTTCACCTAGATAAAGCCTAGACACAAGTCTATGTGTGATGGTCAGTAGGGTTTCTTTCAGACATTTTTTCTTCGGCGAAGTGGAATTAAAATTCCGGGGGGGGGGGGGGGGTAAATGAAAGAAACTGTCAGCCATATAGGTCTAATTCAGCTGAATGACAGCACTAGCACAGCTATAAGGGACTAACCCAGCCAGCAGTGTTTCTTCCAGACTTTTTTCTCCGGGGGTGCACTAGAAATTTTCGGGGGGCGGACAACAATTTCCAGGGGGGGGGGGGGACACTGTCAAAAGTATATATTTCCTATATAAATTCCATTTCGTTCGGGGGGGGGGGCGGTAGACTTTCTTCGGGGGGGGGGGGGGAGACGATGCTCCCCCGAAGAGATGCCTGGAAGAAACTCTACCAGCCAGTACTAATGAGTAACCCAGCCATATAAAAATTCCATCACACTAGATCTTGTTCTCGATCCAATAATTTAACAGCAATGATTACAATGCAGTCAAAATAATCCTTTCGCCGCATGACGTCAAATGACGTCCTTTCTCCCAACAGCCATTTCCCGCCATTCCTCCACCTCGCGTTAAAACATTACTTCCGGTTTTTGTACCCGCCACCTCAGGGTGTCACCGCCTCCATTAACCCTGGCTCAACCAGCCCAATAAAAATTTGAAACTCTTCAATACCGGAGAGAAATATTCTCCCGGCCGTTTTAAAAATCGCAGTTTGTGATGTGTGAAAAGATAACAGACGGACGCTTGACAGTTTGAACTAGGAGGGCTTTAACCGCCTAGTGAATACAAAGTAGGGGAAGACAATCCGTTACATAGTCCGCCATTTTGTTGACCTCAATTACACAGCGCTCAAGCCTAAAGTAAACAAAACACGATCCTCTATTGGAATAGACACTATTGCTAGCGAGGAATGCGGAGCTTCGGCTGTGTATTGCATTCAAGAGCAATCAGGCCTAAAAGTAGGAAAAAATGTTTAGTTTTACAGTGGGTTAGATCTACGCAATCTGTTGCAGTTTTAATGTTTTCTTCACTCAAGACTTTAACTGCGAGATCTAGAGCTACGAGCAGACCGTCTGACGCCTGTGTGGTTGATCTTCTCACTAGCAAACTAGAGGGCACATTTTTAGACCACAGGTCATTTGGTCAGTGGTCCAGTTATGTCATTTCGTCAGTGGTCAAGCAAAGGACGTCGCTTGGTCAGTGGTCAGGTTTTAACTTGACCATTGGCCAAATGACGTCATATAGGGTTGCCAGGTGTCCACTTTTGAACAGGACAGTCCAGTATTTGAGCAGACTGTCCAGGATAAAATAAATACTGGACAAGTATATGAATAATACTCTGTTACCCCCCTTCTTCTGCTTTGCGGCATACCTGAGAAGGGAAGGATGGAAAGGTGTCCAGTATTTTCGGAAAAGGTATCTGGCAACCCTAACGTCATAACCTGACCTCTGACCAATGGTCATGTTGTCAGTGGGCATGTTATGACGTCATTTTCTAAGTGGTCAGGTTACGTCGTCATGTGGTCAGTGTTCAAGTTATGACGTCACATGGTATATGCTCAAGTTATGACGTCACTTGGTCAGTGGTCAAGTTATGACGTCACTTGGTCAGTGGTCAAGTTATGACGTCACTGGGTCAATGGTCAAGTTATGAGTAGCCACCATCGCAGCATACCCGACCTATGAGCAACACTTCCCTACGTCAACGACAACCATTTAGCCTAGACAAAAACCCGCTGAGTCAGCAACTATTGACCAGGGTAATGCTCAACTCGAGAAATCGATTTTTTAAACAAACCAAAAACGTGTGGGCACATTTTTCTTAGTCAGCTGTCATTTCACGAACTGCTGTCATTTCACTAGCTCAGCTGTCATTTCACTAACTCAGCTGTCATTTCCTCAACTGATGTCATTTCATAAACTGATGACATTTCATAAACTGATGTCATTTCATAAATTGCCGTCGATTTATACGCTCAGCTGTCATTTTATGAACTAAATATTCGATATAAAAACGATGACATGACGGTAGTATCACATAAATGCCACAGATGGCATGCATGTCATTGTCAACATAAAGAATGACACTAGACCTAAGACGGCCGAGTGAACATTGTATGAAGACGTTTATTATATGGGGAGAGGGGGAGTAAAAAGAAGGTAAAAAAAATAAAACAATCAGGCACAAAAAAAAAATATTTTAGCTTAATACAGCAAAAAGATATTTGAGGTAACGTTTTAAACTTGCTACGTGACATCATGGTTACGATAAGACAAACAATAAACCATCACACCAACAGGAAAAGGTTGTCACGTGATATGGTTACGATAAGACAAACAATAAACCATCACACCAACAGGAAAAGGTTGTCACGTGATATCATGGTTACGGTAAGGCAAACAATATACCAGCACACCAACAGGAAAAGGTTGTCACGTGATATGATTATGGTAAGACAAACAATATACCATCACACCAACAGCTGACGTGACATCATGGTTACGATAAGACAAACAATATACCATCACACCAACAGGAAAAGGTTGTCACGTGACATCATGGCTACGATAAGGCAAACAATATACCATCACACCAACAGGAAAAGGTTGTCAAATATTGGGGATAAATTATTACTTCAATGTGACAACAGTAGGCCTGTGGGGCTTGGGCTACTGGCGTTTGGTGGTATGGTGGTATGTAGGCTCTAGTTCGTCGGTCTAATCGAGTGGATGACAGTTTAGGTAACTGGAATAGTAGAGGTGGCTGACATATGTTGTGTATGGCAGTATAGATGGTTGACATATGTTGTGTATGGCAGTAGAGGTGGCTGACATGTGTTGTGTATGGCAGTAGAGGTGGCTGACATGTGTTGTGTATGGCAGTAGAGGTGGCTGACATATGTTGTGTATGGCAGTCGAGGTTACTGGCATATGTTGTATATGACAGTGTAGGCGACTGAAGAATGTATTGTGACAGTATAGATGATTGTTATAGGTTGTGGGGCTGTGTATGACAGTATATGTTGCTGGCATGGGTTGCTTGCGGTGTTGGGGTTTGGGGGGGGGGGTCGATTAAATTAGTTTTGGAAAACTTTGATTAGCTGAACCAGCTATTTGACAAGGAACAAGTAAAACACCTGCCTACACATACCAATTGATTAAGATTGACAAGTAAGACGGGTAATTAATTAGCAGATGTGAAATCACTTCCTGACCACGAGACCAAACATGGTCTATTTGTAGTCGCACTTCTACAACCACAAACCTCACATACAAACCGTGATCTAAAAATAGATTTCGGAACTTTCCGGTAAGTACCAAAACAAAAAATGTTATAATGAGCCAGGTCTGATGTGGCAATTGGCAATAACGCATAAAATACAAAATATCGTTTTCCATTTTGACATACGGCAAGAATTGATCATGGTGAAATCTTAACTTAGCTCAACCCTAACCCTTGATAAACTCTAATCCTAGCCTTAAATATATCCTAACTCCATTCTTTAATCAACCCTTTCATAAACATTAACCCTAATTAACCATAACAGGTTTACCAATAACACTTAGCAGTAGGAAACCTTAAACCACAATTTCACTGCCGACTGGCATATAAACAACATCATCAAAACAGATATATTATTTTACTATTTTACCTTTTAATTAATTAACAACAGTGATGCAATTAAACTAATAGAGATGCTTAAATAACTATCAGAACCACCACCTCAATCGACCTTTGCTAATCCATTTTTTGTGGGTGACCTCCCTTGCTGAGACGAAGGTCGAGGTCACCATCTCACTCAGTGAGTTAGTCTGCTCCAGAAGAAATGGGATGTTGCGCTAAGCTGGCCACAGTAAATGGGAATTAACTCCCATTTAGTGGTCAACGGCTGGCGTCACAACGGTCAGGGTGTCCATTGGTGCTAGTGGTCTGGTCTGGTAATCAGGGAAATACAGTCCAGTCTTTATACTAATGCATGTGTGTTTTTGGCCACAAAATACATGTGTCCTATGGGCCACAAAATACAGTCCAGTCTTTACACTGAACATGTGTGTTTTTGGCCACAAAATATAGTCCAGTCTTTAGACTGAACATGTGTGTTTTTGGCCACAAAATACAGTCCAGACTTTATACTAACACATGTGAACTTCTAATAAAATATCGTCCAAATTTTACACTGAATATATGTGTTTTACAAAAACACGGTCCATTATTTAAATTATACCGAGCATTTGTGTTGACAAACACATCAACCTCCACTTTGATAAACTGGTGACAAATGTGTTTTTTTTTAAAACCTGTTTGAATTATAGACGGAAAGAACGGACAAATGAGTGAGGAAGTGGAGGTAAGATGGAGTGCATACATGGATCAGTGGATGGG